ACAAAACATTCGCTGCCACCACCGCCATTTCCACCACGGTCTCCCACGCACGTGGCGCGACTGCACACTGAGTGTCCGCTCTCCATTCGCTCAAGTTCACTCACTGGAACCAACTCTCGACATGTTCACAGGAGGCAAACCAGAGGTCGCAAACGGGTTTTGATTCCGTACCCGTACCCGGCCGCACCAGGGTCGCAAACGGGTACCCATACCCGTACCCGGCCGTACCCGTACCCTACCCGTACCCGGCCGGGTACGGGTAGGGTACGGGTATCGGGTACCTGATTGCGACCTCTGGGATGAAGTTATGTTGCAGGCGCGGGTGGGTTGATTCTAGGAACTTGAATTGTGAGAAGAGACAAGACGTTGGGAAATGAGTGACAAACGGTGACTCACCAGTGACTGACGGTCTACCCGTACCCGTACCCGGCCGCACCAGGGTCGCAAACGGCTACTCGTACCCGGCCGGGTACGGGTAGTCAGGTATCGGGTAGGGTAGTATGCTATTATTTAATTTATTATTTTATCTTTATACGTGACTTTACCGAAAGAACCAAAGAATAGGGTACGGGTATCGGGTACCCGGTTGCAACCTCTGAGGCAAACACAAAGTTACGGGTATCATTGGCACCAGGCTCGATCTCCTACACTGCCCATGCTCCCACCTCTAAACCCCGGCTTGTTTACATCACCTGTGAACCACATCCCTGGTCCTCCATCACCCCCCTCCTTACCTTTAACAACATCTTTCCCCACTACCGTAACCTACCCCCCCCCCCCTTGTGACTCCCACCTCCACTCGTGTCGGGGCCAGGTCAATCTGGGGACAAAGACGCACTCGGCTGGACGTGTGCGCTCGCACGCACGTGTCCTTCACACGCGCCGTAAACCAGTCTGGCGAGACAGATTGTATTATCAGCTTTAAGGTAAGCTTTCTTCGGGCCATATCAGACGTTACGGGGGTGGGGGGGGGGGGGAATGCACACACAATGTACAACGACTGACCGACACCCCTCTTGTCAATCCACTCCTGGGCGAGCGAGGGCCTCAACTCTGCCCTGCGGGGTCGCGATGGGTGGCATTTGACCAAACTTGGCCGACAGAAAATCGGCCGTGGGCCCATCATCCAACAGTGGATTGATCGTGGCCGATGACGGCGATGCGTGCTACTTGTCAAGTGATGACGCAGGCTACGGACGGTTTGGTGCTGCCGTGGTGTGCAAATTGGATCGAGCGCGTTAACCATCATTAACGCCACTGGGGAGCATTGCGTTTTGAAATGTGGATTGAAAACTCATCTCTTTAGAACCGCCCCTTCGCGTCTAGTTTGTTGTCCTTTCCCCTCTCCCGCCGCACCTCCCGATTCGCACGGTTGGCTACGTACGGCGCGAAAGAAGTCCAGCAGGCGATCACCCGCGTGTTCCCGGGGGCATAAAGGTTACGCCTCAATTAGAACCGCGGCACGCGTGAAGCTCGTCTTGGGAACCTGGGCTGAGCGAATTAACTCAGAGGGGGGAAGTTGTGTTTGTGTTGTGTGTGTGTTAGTGCGCACGTATATGTGTGTCGGTGTATTTAATTGGTAATGGTTCAATCAACCTTTATTTTACCGTGCCAATTTATGGTTAGAATAGAATGGCCGTCTATTTCATGGTTTTATTTGTATGTATATATGTTGAATTTCTTTTGCACCCTACTTAGCCAACCGTGCTAATCGGAGGGGCGGCTGTTTATTATTACACGCTTTTATTTAACTCACTCTGTCTGTTGTTGTTGTCGTATCCTCAAATCTTGTAACTCAATTTTAACCCACTTCCCAATGTGGTATCGACTGCAAACGTGGTATACTTATGTCATACTGATGACAATACTATAATCTAGCATTAAAAAAATCTATATATTTAAACAATCTTTTTTATATGTTATGTTTCCGGCTTGGGTCTAATTGTCCACGCTCAACTCACGTTGGCTGTAAATCACCACGGCCCCTTTACGTTATGGCAAGCTGCGGGGCCACTTTCTGGAGTCGTGGAGTCCTGCCATTACTCTTTCTCGTATGGATGAATTTTATTAAAGCGTGTTTTAAAAAAAGTATTTTAAAATATTACTTATTATATGTGTCTCTTTCAATGCCTATGTGTCTGCGTGTTCGTTTTATTTTGATGTATGTGTTTGTTGTGTCTGTTGTTTAATTAAACTGGCAGTGTGTTTCATTTCAATGTCTATCTAAATGGTAGTACGTTGATGTCTTGAGCGCCTTTGTGCCTGTTCATATTTTATTTAATTGCCCGTGTGCCTTTGATCAATTCGAAAACTACCGCGGCATATCTGCTCTGCAGCACACACGGCCAACGCCACGAGAACGAACAGTTGACAACCCACACGGCTTACCCCGTATTCTTGTACACAGGGAAACTGAATTTTCAGGTCCAAACGGCGTACAGCCGTTTCACTACGGGCAAAAAACATGTTTGTGTCTATTTGTTCGTGTTTCTTTCTAGTGATGGGACCTTTGTAGGATGAACGTTGAGATGTATAAGGGGCACGGGGTGACCAATAAGATCTGAATTGGTCTGTAATAAGGCAGGTATTGATAAGGGGTCAACAGGTATGAGAACGCGAGTCACCAACAATGTAACCTGAAGACGATTGCTTGTGTTGCGATCGAAACGTCGTGATTTAAAAAAAATATTTTTCTATCTACGTGACTTTACCGAAAGACCCAAAGAGAATCTAAGAATATCCACTCTAGGTTTCCCTCGCTTATTGCGGTTTCGGTTCGTGCGATTTGGCGTAGAAACGCGGAACCACATTTCTCCCCAAAACCATCTCTTACATGCGGGTGGAATTCACTCAGATGCGGTCGTGCGTGGGACAAGGACCGTCACGTTCTGTACTGTTCGCGCAACCTGGCAAGGCAGCCGTCGTCTCTGTGTGGTTTCACTTTGTCGTCTCCTTTTCATCTTGGGAACTCATCAGCAACGGCACAAGGCGATGGGAAACGTGCATTCAACCCAATAGCCGGGAGCTTGGGTGGGTGGCGAAATGACTTATTAGGTTAGTGTATAGATGAACGTAATTACGTTATGACACGTTTCGTGGTTAGGTAGCCGTCCACAAAGGACGTCACGCACCTGAGTGGGGGGGGGGGTCAGACATTTGTGACGATTTGTGACGAGGGGGGGGGGGGGTGAGAAATGTGACGTCACATCAAAATGCGCAACTTTAAATAAATATAGACAACAGGTTCTACTTAATTAAATAGACGTTTTAATAAATGTTTTCTCCTACAACATCAGAGTGCAGCGCCACATTAAATACGCACTACAATGACAATAGTTTAAAGCGATTTGAAGCATGTTTTATTTTCAAAATGGAAATATGGTTTTCGGGGGGGGGGGGGCAGAGCTTTGTGACGTCATATTTGAGGGGGGGGGGTCTGACTTCTTGTAACGCCGTGTGACGAGGGAAGGGGGGTCAAGAATCGTCCGCATGGCGTCATTTATGGACGGCCCCTTAGAGCACCTTGTGCTCGAGTCACGGAGAACTTCTGATGTGCCACGGACATGTCGCCTTATTACTCTCGCCGTATTGTTATCCAAGAGCCTGTCAATCAAAGTGTTATAGGCATACAGCACAGTACACACTTGGAATAGGGCTGTTTTACTTCCACTGCCATGTTATGGACTTATGCTCCTGCTGTTGTGGAGTGACTCATGCAGCCAGCTATGGCTGCAGGGTTTTGGTGGTACATGTTGTTTGTCGTTTATTGTGAAAATTCCGTCACAGTTCCTATGATCACTGTTACATTGCTTTATTTTGGTGATTTCGAAAAGTTTACTAGTTTGGCCATGTTTGTTTGTTGTAGTACGGAGTAAGACTGATGGCCTAAATCTAAGTTGTCTTGTGGTTGTTGTTGTTATTTGACTTGCATCCCACTGGGATTTTTGCACACAGCGTTGGTGTACGGTGTTTTTTTCTGCAATATTTTGCTGTCTTTTCTTGATTTTTCTGTTTGCACTTAGTCACATAGTCATTTTAAGAAGTTTTCTTGTTCATGTTTTTGTTTTTTGTTTGTTGCGGTTGCACCCGATTCAAGAGCCGAATGGCTCACAGGGCTATACCTAATAAATGAACTTGAACTTGAACGCAGATAACGACAAACGCCGAGCCAGCCTCGGATGGCAGGTTAAATACTGATCCATGCGCGCGATGCAACATGACATTTGAATTCATTATCACGGTTATCAATTAATTCATAATCAATTCATAACCAAAGGTTAGATCGCGTAAACATTTAAATTTCACCCCCCCCCCTTGAAAAATCATTTTTAATATTAACAATATTGGCCGCGAAAGCCTACTTACTACGTCATGAGATCTCTTTCACCAGTGGCAATATAGTAGTAGGTTTTTACCCTTTTAAACTGGTACAAAACTGACACCTTTATTCAAGGCATCATGTTTGCAATGACCACAACACAAGTAGTCAACAGAAAGAAGCAACTCTGATAATGATAATAATATGCACTGTCCTTGAAGTTGATTCAACAATAATATGCACTGTCCTTGAAGTTGATTCAACAATCAACTTCAAGGACAGTGCATATTATTATCATTATCAGAGTTGCTTCTTTTTGTTTGCTTTTTTGACTACTTGTGTTGTGGTCATTGCAAACATGATGCCTTGAATAAAGGTGTCAGTTTTGTACCAGTTTAAAAGGGTAAAAACCTACTACTAAACTTACTACGTGTTAGAAAAGTGACCTCATTTGAGTGTTTGGCATCACACCGGCTTGCCAAGATCTGTCTCGGTAACACGTGGCTTTGTAATCCGGGTTCAGGGTGAGACACAGCGTGGTGCGCGTGTGTGCGTGTATATATAGACGTGTGCCAGCTAGCGCCATCTGTGCGCGCATACACGCACGCACACACGCACGCACGTGCGTTAGTAGTGGGTGTAGTTGCTACTGATTAACTTGCTGGGGAGTTAAGGTTCGGCGGCTCTGGGCGGTTTTTTCTATTTAAACGGCCACGCGTTGCACTTTAGAGCGGCGAGGTTTATAATTTCTCTTGTGCCACCACCCTCCTCCACCAGCCACCACCACCCACTTGCGCAAGTCTTGCGAGTGCGTGAGTGGAGTCACAACGTTGGACAGTAGTCGTGTGTTTGGCAGCCTACACTTGGCGTTTGCTCTGTGTGTGTGTGGCTCTCTGTCTGTCTCTCTCTGTGAGTATTTTGTTATTGGAGTTGAGTGGAAGCGCAGTGGCGAGTGCGTTTGGCACTCCGAACCCGGTTCGCCCCCCCCCCCTCTATACCCGAGTTCGATTGCCACACGCGGTCAGCACGTGCGCCTCCCCTAGGTCTGCTCGGCCTTAAAACATCAACGGTGACCGGGCTCGCCGTGTTGGCTCAAGCCCCTCCTCCGTGTGCCGTGCCGAGCCTACATCGGTGAAACTCGCGAACAGCACTTGCCCCCAAGTATGTTGCAGGCTATACGGGGGATCTTTGTGTGCGAGCGCGCTGCCATCGGGGGGTTACTGATCGATCGGTCGGCATCTGTCTGCAGGAGACGCTCGGTGGCCAGTGTCAACAACATGTGATCAGTGTCAACAACATGTGATCAGTGTTGATTTGGGCAGTTTGAAGGAAACAAAGTCGTAGTACAGAAGTTGCTCAACTTGTTACTGTGCGCGTCTCGTGTGTGTGTGTATTGTTCCATTCAACTCGTGTGTCCTTGCTCATCAGCAAATAGTATTAAGTAACCCGTTCAAAGTTACACATTTTAAACAGTTTGCTGCCCAGGGCATTATACTTTTTTAAGTTTCAAAGTCAACTGTGGTTATGTATTGCTCGTGGTGAGTGCGCGCGTGTATTTGTTGTATTTCAAGGCGAGGTGTCGTTGGATGCCAGCAAAGCATTTGCTGCACCATCATCATCATCCTCATCTTCTTCAAGCATGCTCCGATACCTCTTGAGTCGCCATGCCCTGCCAGCCTTGGCAAGCGCTGCCTTGGTCGTCGATTCTGACACGAGGCACCGAAGAGACTTGGCGAAGGGGCAGGCGTCCACCCTCGACACGACAACAACCACCACCAACAACACCAACAATAACCACATCATCGGGACTTGCAAAGGTAGTACACGCATGCACTTCTAACTATCTCTTATCGTCCTTTGCTTGCAAGGTTATATTGCCAAAGCAATGTAACATATATGCCCAAGGAATGTGGAATGTCCATACCCCCTTCCCTGGACTCAATGGCTGTGATTGAATTAACGTGAAACCTATGGATGTGTGGATGTTACAGGAACGCAATGCAATGCTGTAGATTAGTTCCTCGGTTAACGGTCACATCGGTTAACAGTTTTTTCGGTTAACGTCTTCCATAGGATCCCCGTGGTTTCGACGACCGTTAAAATAACAACATAGGTTGTAGGTCATCTTCTTGGTTCTTTCGGTAAAGTCACGTAGAATGGAAATAATAAAATAATAAATAATAATATAATAAAATATAAAATAATAATAATAAAATAATAACAATAAAAATTTTCTTCTATTATTTTATTATGTTTTATTTTTATTATTTTATTACTTCTCTTCTACGTGACTTTACCGAAAGAACCAAGAAGATGAATCCCAGCAGTCACGAAAGCTTTAAATCGTAATAGGTTGTAGGTTTTACAAAGTGTTAAGATGTTCAAACACCAAACATAAGTATTTGAACATATTCACACCTGTTTTATTTCACAGAACGGGTGCAACCTGTTCTTATTTTTTCACACTTTGACACTGCCAAAAGAAGTCCCATTTTAACATTAAAATGTTGGTTTAGGGTGTTTACGTTTTTGGCACGCGGGGCGACACTTTTGGCCAATCCGAGTGCTCGAATAGTGGGGCTGAGCCATTCCCGCGGCCAATCAGCGACGCCGACTGAGCTTTGTTCACATTACAACGCTCACTGTTTTTGGAAGTGGAAACGGATGTCTCTCTTTGCAGACTCAGTGATTTTTTTTTTGTAACTTATTTTTCAACTGATAAGTCAATTCTATTAGCGGTTATTTCGGTTAACATGAGTTTTCGTGGAACGGTCGTTGTGGAGAGTTTAAATAATCAAATTGATAAGGAGAAGAATACGTCTGGACATTCGTCTCCAGATACAAACACAAATAACGTATTCAACAACCCATCAGCCAAACGCTCCTCTTCTGGGCAGTGCAGCATTTCAGTAGTATTGCTTCAAGGCACGCAAAACTACGGAACGGTCACAAACGTTGGGGGGGGGGGGGGGTTTGCCTGATCAGAATCTTTATTTAGACTGGAGGAATCCGATGAGCTATGAGGCTCTTTTTCACAGATGTCTAGTATGCGCGAGTCGGCATGTTACAACAGCAAACAATGGCAACAAACCGATAGGAGTGCAAAATAGAGGGGGGAATTACGCAAGTAAATACATTTAAGTAAATAATCCATTCATTCATTATAGAAGTCAGATTTATCAAAGCTTGGACAAGGCAGCAAAAACAACAACAAAACAGTCCCAGGCCACACCAAGATAACACCACACAATAGTAGTCCCTCAATAATCCAGTATGTGTGTGAGATTGGCATTCCTTTATTGACTTGGACCACACGTTTTGGGTGCACCTTTCTTTCTGAAGCGTTTTACAATCTGGCCAGCAGTTATCACAGTTACGGGTATAGCCATTGGCAGAAAGGAGGCCTCTAGATCTACAATAACAAGTTATGGAAAACTACATGTGCATAAAGCAAAGCTTAAGAAAAAAATCCCATACTCGTATTGTTACCGGCTTAACTTTGGGGTTTATTTATGAGAACAATACAGAGGGAACACAGCTCGTTGAAAACGGGAACTTGTACACGAACAGAACTTCACCACAATCACTGCCAACAAGTGGCCGGGCTTTCCACCCTGGCCATGTAACCCATACATCTTCTCTCTCCCCCTCCATCCAAGTTGCCGCCACCACACGCTCGCACCGGTAACCTCTTGTGAGTTAGAGGTCGTCGGGAGACATACCTCATTAATTAATCAATTAGCCGTTTCGAACAACATCGCTCAGCGGCTTTGTTATTCAAAGTGGGCATCAATAAGGCGCCTACAGGCTATAAAGCTTGTCAGCGGTACCGGCTTCAGCTCATGCCATCCGCTGATCTTCTTTCGTATGGCTGATGTAGATGGAGAGAAACAACTACAATTTCACATTCAGGTTCAAGAGAAATTACCGCGTCCGCAGCAGCGGAGTGCGTCGCTGTAATGTCTTCTTGGTAATTGAGGATCGGGCATTGCATCGTTATACGTACGCTATGTTGTACGGTCTGTTCTGGATGACCACGGTCGCACATCGGAGAGTTTTTTTTAAATTTTCTATTTGCGCATCAGGTATCCGCGTCTGCCATGGTTTGTAAAGTGGAGGCAGTTTAGGGTGAAACTTGAGCTTCGTGGAAGATCAGACCCAGCGATCTTCTGCGTCGGGTCTGATTGGCTGATTGGAAGCGCTTACCGGATTGGTTGAAGCGTAAGGGTGATTCAAAGCCTGATTGGCTGAGGGAATTTGAAAACTGAGAGCCCGCCCAGGTTATGGAATTGAGGGAAACGTTTGAGAGGCCAGTTGAGTGGCGTAGTGTAGAGGTCGCAAACGGGTTTTGATTCCTTACCCTTACCCGTACCCGGCCGCACCAGGGTCGCAAACGGGTACCCGTACCCGGCCGTACCCGTACCCTACTCGTACCCGGCCGGGTAGGGTACGGGTATCGGGTACCTGATTGCGACCTCTGGGATGAAGCCATGTTGCAGGCGCGGGTGGGTTGATTCTAGGAACTTGAATTGTGAGAAGAGACAAGACGTTGGGAAATGAGTGACAAACGGTGACTCACCAGTGACTCACGGCCTACCCGTACCCGTACCCGGCCGCACCAGGGTAGCAAACGGGTACCCGTACCTGGCCGGGTACGGGTAGCCGGGTATCGGGTAGGGTACGGGTATCGGGTACCCGGTTGCGACCTCTGGCGTAGTGTGTGGGGGGGGGGCACGGAAGGGCTGAAGGAGTAGAGATGGTTGGAAATGTTTGAGAAAGTAGGGCGAGAGCTATACAAGGGTGGGGATAATGGGACCTCAGGCATTTGTGTACAGCTCCTTCTTACCGTAGTGTGTGTTTGCGAGTTAGAGACTCCAAATAAAGATACCAAGTTTACGTTGGACCTTTGGCTTACCTTCACGTGGAATATGTTTTGCATTCCAATACGTAGACAGTAGTATGGAAGCCTACAGGTAGTTTGCTATCGTAGAAAAAATCATCTGCATATATGCAGTTAGTCGTTTTTGCTCTGGGTCATCTCCCACGTTTTGGGAAGCCCTTTGATCAACTTGGTCGATTACAATAGAGTAAGTCGTGGAAGTGAAGTACATTTTTCTTATTGGGAAACATGTTTTTAGATCTGAAATTGCAGTTTGTATCTAGGCTGGATTTTCAGATTGTTGGTGTTTTAAAACCAACATCGGGAACACGTGCCTACTGTGTATATATTAAGTAGATGTTCCTTATAGACAACTGCGATACCTTAATGTGTCTGTCACATGGTGACCAGAGGTTTTGCAGAATTGTTAAAATGACGGTCATGACCTCTTGTGCAGCTCTGGATTTGATTTAAACTTCCCCTTTCAAACTGCAGTGTGAAAAGCAGCTTGCCACGTGCATTTTTGAAATGTGGGTTGAGCTCGCTGTTTTAGGCACTGCCGCAAAAGCAACTGGAAAATCGTTTGTTATTGATGGGGGAAGTTTTTTTTCTTTCTTTCAGGCTCTAAGATGGTCACGATAATCTGTTCATGGGGATGGAGTGTGTGGGAGTTGGATGTTATTCAATAAAATCGTTGATGTGTTTTAGGCAGACGCACACCATGAGTTATCAGGCAACGCAGAACTTGCAACAAGTTCTGTACAAAAGCTCGAATTGCTCTGACCTGGCTTTGGCCTTTCATGTAGCTTTTTGCAAAAATCTCTTTGCACTTGGGGATATTTGAACTGCTTTGTAAATAAACGTGCACTGGAAGGGTTGTCATGCAGTGTGACAATTGGGTCTCAGCAGATATGTTTTCTGCAGTCCAGCTATGATGTGTTTTCAGTTTGTACTGAATGGTGTTGGGCCTTACCTCCGACGTTTCGTTCCTTGAAAATTTTGTATTAAATTATTATGGCGATAAGAATAGGTTTTTCCCCTTTTTCTGGCAACAAAACTGAAACCTTTTTACGAGGAATCATGTCTGCATTAACCACAATACTTGTGGTCAGAATGAAAACAAAAAACATACTCTGAAAATATATGCATTGTCCTTGAAACTGATTACTCTGATAGTGCATTGTCTTTGAGCTGTATACCTTTTGGCGTCCTGTGGTCGAACACCGTTTGATAGTAGGCTCAAAAGAAAGCTGTCTCTGGTGTAGACCAATCAGAGATTCGCAGGTTTCCTGCTGGAGTGTGAGAATTTAAGCTTTTCCATGGTTTCTCACCAAGTGCGAATTTGCCTTCATCTCGGGAATCAGTGTGTGCCGTAGTTTTGACAGGTCCTGCAAGGCACATTTTATTTTCTTTAGCTGCACGGGATGTTTCTGGTGGCTATCACTTTCAGAAAAATGGCCATATTTTGGAGAAAGTGGTATTCTCTGGATTGTCGCTCCGCCAATGCTTGCAAAGGTGGGCCATGAGGCCTTTCAGAACTTCCATCTTGGTTTTGGCACTGAAGCGACTATCGGCGCTTTGATCCCTATAAGTACGATGCTGGCCCTGCGTTGTGAGTGGGGGAAGTTCTTAAGAACCTTCCGGGATCAGGTGAGCAGCCATCCTTTGTTGTCACTTTTCATGAAGCAGAGGTCCGGTGAGCAATTTATTCCTCCAGTGGGCTAATAAGAAGGTGCCTGGGCATTTGGCATTGAGGACGAGGTCTTTGAGGTGTTCACCTGCTCGGTCTTTTTGGTAGCCCCTCATACGGTGGTGGATGTTGAAATCGCTCGTGCAGATCGCTGTGTGGTTAGCCGCTGGTAGGACTGGTTGGCCACGATGCAGTTGGAGGCTTGTAGACGTTCACAATGGTCAGCTTGCCCACTCGAATTGTGATGGAAAACAGTGAACTGCCTGTGGGCAGGATTTCTTCAGCTTGTGTACTTAGGTTGGCTTGGACGCATGTGTCCATGTTGTGTTTCATATGGTATTTGCAGGTTGCCATTTGGAATCCGTGGATATTCATCTGGCATGGGTTGGGTTCAGGTAGGTGGGTTTCTTGGAGGGCAAAACTATTGGTCGTCTACATTCTAAGTTTTTTTTTACAAGACCCCACATTTTTATCTGGATGTGCCTTCAACATTCAGTTGACATCTTGGTTGGTTGGTCCTGGTATGGACCTTTGCTTGACATTTTTGGGCTTTCATGCGTTTCAGACGAGGAGGCCATTTTTGTGCATTCGGTCATCTTGATGACATTGTCAGCGAACTAGCACGCACAGGGAGACCACGTGGAGATGGTTATTGTCTCTATGGCTATTTTAGCTACAAGTGTAGTTGCTGAATCATGGTCTGCTCGACCATCTTTCACAGCATAACAGTCATAATGTTAGGGGTTAACCTGATCGTGATCGGCAGAAATAGAAAATTGTGTCAAAGGGGAAAGAAGTGTGGCTACATTTGAATTGGCGGCACATGTCATCGGACGTGGCAGAGGAGAGAGTAGGCTGGCGCGGCGCCACGTGCATTCATTCGGCAGCTCGTATTTCTTGTTTGCGAGAGGCATTGCCGAGTGGCTTGGCAGAAGAGAAGCGTTTCAGAGCCGTTTGAGCACCCAGACAGTGCAGCAGACTGCCTCGTCACCACTCCGTGTGCTGCACGTTGCTGTTACAGCTGACACTGCCTTCACACTTTAATGCACGAGCACATCATGGGGTTATGGGCCGCACTGCCTCACAGTTGTGCACCATAATGTGTAATCGGAGAGGTTCGTATATTATTTTTAACCATTGTCTACCCAACTGCTGGATGATGATATCTTTGCTCCATCTCTGTGGTGGTTGCCCTCTACGCAATGTTCTGCTGTTGGCTGTTGTTCCATTACTGGTCTTGTCCGCTAGCTATCATTCCATCCGGCAATGTTTTCTCCTGAAGCACACTTACTTTTCTCAACGGTCCAAGTTATGTCTAATTTACATTGGTTACTTGATTCACGTGTCCCCTAGTTGTTTGTCTTAAGTGTCATTCGGAGCACGGTCTTTCAACGATTATTTGTGCAATTTTCATTTGTTGTTTCGTTTCTCTTTGCCAGTGTCCTTGTTTGTGACCTAGATGTCGTAGCTACAATACGCACTGATTGAAAACTTGTTTGGAATTCCAATAAAGCAATCGACCAAAATGTGCTTCTGTGGAAATATGGAATAGAGGTATATCTATTGATGCATTTATTTATTTACTCAAGAACTAAATGATGTTTTTTTTTCTTTTGATGAGCATGTGTTTTGGTGCTTGGTAATTCATTGTGTAACAAAGATGAAAACATCCCCACTTAACTGCTTGCAGTATTGGGATAACAACTCTAAAATTGCAGCAAGATTACACAGAAGCAGCACTACATGATTTTTTTTATGCCTCAGAAGTATCGTGATAATTGGCAGGCTTTTAGCTTGTACTTGGTCTTTGTGTGTGTCTCTCTCTGCATGTGTGTCTGCCTATGTTGTTGCCGTGTCTGTGTTTTATCTTGGTGTGTGTCACGCTCAGTGTGTCTCTATATGAATGTTGTCTGCCTATGTTGTTGCCATGTCTGTGTTTCCTTGGTGTTTGTCGTGCTCGGTGTGTCTCTCTCTTCACGTGTGTCTGCCCGTGTTGTTTCCGTGTGTGTTTTATCATGAATTCTTATCTGATGATGGTTGCTTGTGTTGCAACCGAAACGTCATATTCTATTATTATTTGATTTTATTTTCCACGTGACTTTACCGAAAGAACCAAAGAGTAATTCCTGCAGTCACGAAAGCTTCGAATCTAGTTAGTGCCATCTTTGCTTGTTGCTGTAATTGATGGTATTTAATGGTTTTAATAAGCAGCGAGCACATTTTAAAATGATAACCTCCAAGGAGTGTTTAACAGCTCAAGTATGCAGATCAAATGTTGCTAGGATTATCACGGACGTGGAATAAACACAAATCTTTGTTCGTGGTGCCTGGGTGGGTTGGAAGTCAGAGTGATGAGTCTGCATTGCCGGGACACTAGGTTGGCACATAGGCAGCCATCCGAGATTAAACGGTGCCCTCAAGTGTATCAAGTTGTTTGTCTCAGCCTGGTCACCATTGACAGCATACACAACTATAATTAAAGTTGCTTTTGCACTGAATGTATCAAAATTCCAACTTTGAAAATTCAAAACAATAGCGGAGTGTGTTCGAAAGTGTGCCCCCTACCGTACAAATGATGAAAAGCCGCTTGAGAGAATGTTTTTGCACAGCAGGAAACTGCTGTGAAAGATTTCCAGACAAATACTTTGTCTCATAGCGCGACACCGATAGCACATCTGGAATAAATTACAGGAATAGAACCCAAAAAAACCACAGCAATGTATGACTTTGAATTTAAAAAGAAATGCACGACTTGAGAAATGTGCAGTGTGTAAAAATATTAGCGTATTTTCTAGTTGTGTTGGTAAATGACCGGTAATGTAAGTGGAAAGAATTGGCGTAAAGCAAAGTGTTGATATGGTACAATTTGGAATTATTGCAAGTAAAATTACCGCAGAGGTGGGATGTGATTTTTACAATTGAATAATGATCAAGTAATGTTCTTGTTGTTTCAACGCAGGAATATTATCCTTACAGAAAACTGTCTGTACGAGTGATCAAAGCTGTGAACATACATGGAAATGACATATGTAAGTAAAACCCATTTTTACATTTCAAATCTAGTTTAAATTGTACTTCAGATATGTATTATATTTTGTACCTCAATAGCTTTAGTCATTCTTTGTTTATTTGTATTGACTAGCTTGTTGAATTTGAGAATTTGTTAAATCATCGTCACATTTGTACAGAAATAGTTAAAGCACAATTCAAACATGTTAGTTGATCGTCAATGTTATTTCTTAACGTTTTATAGGTGCGTTATTAAATCCTTTATATTAAGTTCGCTTGCTTGCTTAGGACCATGCAAATCTTTCGGTCGTTTTTTAACCCACTTCCCGTGATCCAATCGAGCTGACATTTTGCACACAGACTCGTTGTGCGTGACAATGAATTTTCGTGAAATTTTTTTTCCAAAATGTTACACTGTTTAGCGAAAAGCAATTAAATATTTATTTACCAATTGGTTAATGCTGGCACACAATCATCTGACCCATAGGTAGCAGCCATCTCAAGCCAGAGGACGAGAGGACTCTAGCCGCCCCGATGCCACGCATATAAAGTATTTATAGTGAAAACTTTGTTTTTACGGGTTAAATTTTGTTATCCCTCCCCCCCGCTTCTGCCCACCGAGCAATGTCCATCGGTACAGCACAGTCTTATCGGCAGGTGGCTTGTGGTGGGGTTAAATGTGGGTACTCCAACATCTTCCAAGGTGTTCGACCAGCATGGAAGAATATGGCAAAATGCCCTCTGGAGAGCATCTCTAGAGCTCCTGCTAATGGAGGTCCTTCTGCCAACAGGAGCGTGCGCAAGTCATTTCAGGGCTGCACCTTGTTAGGATTTCCATAATAGATGTTCCTGCTGCATAATAATGAATGTAATGATTTTCATGCCACAACACGTTTCGCGACCGTGTGTATGTATGCAAGGTGGAATGCGTGATGCTGATGCGTTGTGTACTGTGTACAATACTCCTTTAACAAATGTGAGCCTCAAAGCATATTTGCTGCTGAAAGATGATTCTGATTGAGATGATCAGGAATCGTGCGAGAACGTTTTCAGTTTTAAAACCACACACACGCGTTTGTGATCAATACACCTAAGGGTAGCGAACTGGGACTTAATACTTACACAACAAGTTGGGGCACAACCAAGCTTTGCTGGTTGATTTTAAATGTCCCCACAAATGCCGTAGGCTCAAGTAGGCAAAGTATGATGATGTAATGTTCGGTGGAGGAAAGAGGAGAGTCGTGTGGACATGTTAATGTATAATCCGAACTACTATTATGCAGAGGTGGGACAAAGTCATTGTTATGCAAGTCCAAGTCGAGTCTGAAGTCATCAAATTCATGACTCGAGGTCCAAGTCACATGACTCGAGTCCACACCTCTGCTATTATGTAATTGTAGCTTTAATAGGCTTACTGTTCCCCGACGTGTTGTAATAAGTATTATTATATCCCCAGCTGGCTTTCCAGAGGTGTATTAATCGCAAACGTGTGTTTTTTAAAGGTACATTCGTCGTAAAACTGATAATTTTTGCATAAATCTCAATCATTTAGCCACCAGTCATTCTGAATCATCTTCCAAAAGACATCGTCTCCTTTCGATTTAAAACTTTCGTGACTGCAGGGATTCATCTTCTTGGTTCTTTCGGTAAAGTCACGTAGAAGAGAAGTCTGAATGACGCTGTCGCCTTGACAGACCTGGTTTTCACCTGAGGACGGCTGCTTGCGTTGTGGCCGAAACGTCGTGAGAATTGTTTTATTATGTTTTATTTTTATTATATTATTACTTCCCTTCTACGTGACTTTACCGAAAGAACCAAGAAGACATCGTCTCCTGTTTTAGCCCCTTGGCGTTCATTCCACACACCTGTCCGTACTCCCCCCCCCCCCCCGTATCTCCAATTTAGCACGGTTGGATACGTACGGTGCAAAAAAGTTCACTGTACAAACAGCCAAGCAAATTCACATTTAAGTGGTCTCCACTCTATAAACACATTCCTGCGGAGGGAGCTGGTAGGAACGTTGGGTTGCTCGGTCAATGGCCAGGGTCAACGGCGGCGTGGTGTATTCCGCAAATATGCCCGACTGTGAGGGCGGGCACAAGCCGGCGTGAGTAGGTTAAACGTTGAGTTTTATAAGGGCACCACGGAGTGACCAGCCCCTCCCCACCCAGCACCTCCCCACCCTCCCCTTCCTCCCCTCCCCACCCAGCCCCTCCCTGCAGGACGGACGGACACAATAATCCCCTGTGGGTTGGTGTAACCAGGAGGTTCCTCCCAGTATTAAAGTCGTTACAAAACAAGGTCGAATTTGACCCATGCCGAGGTCTATTTCAGAATGAAAGTGGAAAAACTGCTTCTTGTAATTGCGTGGTGGAGGGAAGGTAACATGTGCCCCAATATAGCTGCAGGCAGTTATTCGACCCCGTTTGAACTTGCATCCAAAGATCAAGCCCAGCTTTTGAGATCCATGGCATGGCATTACTGTATACACTTTATTTATCCGAATTATAAGACACTCCAGAAATTAAAACTCGCAAACTTTGGCGTCATTTTGGAAACAAAAAGCTCGTTTAATAATTTGGAGATTTGGTACCGTGGACTGCCACCTTCCAGAAGATGATTGTGAAAGTGCTGCATCAAAATGGGAATAGATGTCTTGTGGAAGACGATTATGAACATCTGGTGATGCCTTTTGCCCTCTGGGTGGTCATGTGTTGCTACGGAAAACCATATTCTGAACAACTAGATTAAAACACGTCTTCCAGAGGCAAATGTATTATCTAGAATCTAGATTATAAGACAAACGTCCACCTTTTTTACTTTAAAGTACTGTATTGGGTGGCGGGGGAGTGCGTCCTTATATTCTGATATTCTGGAGAACAAGCCTATACTTTCTGTTTTTTTCAGTAAAGTCACGTAGATAGAAAAATTATAAAATAAAAGTCCTGAAGACGGACGCTTGTGTTGCGACCAAAACGTCGTTCTTTCTTTTATTTCATGAATTTTTCTACCCGCGTGACTTTACCGAAAGAACCAGAGAGAGTGGATTCCTGCAGTCACGAAAGCTTCAAATCAACTCGCCTATAGCCCGTCCAAGGACGGGTGTATTGCAGTTAATCTGAAATATTCAATCAAAAATAATGACCGGCTCATGATTATTAATGAGGGGGTGAAGTCCACATGAGTGACGTCATCAGCTCATGATTATTGATGAGGGGGGAGCTCTATGTGGAGTGACGTCATCCGCTCATGATTTAAATGAGGGCGGGGGGTCATGTAGAGTGACGTCACACGCAGGACACACATTCTTGGCTTCTTATGTTAGTAATACGGTATTGCAAAACCCGTGTTGAAATAAACTTTGGTTTGGTTAGTCCTAATGTATTTTCTGTTTGTTTTCAGTCGGGCGTGACGTCTGTAAATATGAATCGTGCGCAGGTTTCATTCTTATGGGTTGCTTGTACTTTTGAACCTTGAATCTTATTTAGATTTTCCCAACTTATTTGTACGCAGTATTAAGCAACATTAAGACATAGAATGTAAAGTACCGTTAAAAAATAGTTGCAAAGTCGAGGCAATAGTGCATGGTTATTCACTCATTAGATAAAAATTGAAAAGTAGGTTTCGTGGCGTTTACAATTTGAAGATGAATCGTGTATTTACGTTGAAATTCTTTCCCACCGTACGTAGCCAGCCGTGCTAATCGGAGGTTGCAGTGTGGGTAGCGCTGTAAGCAGTTGGAGTGTGGTTGGCACACTGTGATATGAATCCGGTGACCCGAGTTAAGTTCCTGGCCACAGTGGCATGCGATATCTTAGCTGCTCCTGCCGCCTGCCCCCACGCAATCATCCAGCAAATGTGCAATGTTGGGCCAACATTGTGATATGGTTGGGATCTCCATGGCGAGATCCAACACTGGCCCAACGTTCCATGTTTACTGGGTCTCCTGCCACTCTACTACCTTCACCACTTACCAGTGTTATAAAGTGTGGTCATTAAATCACCATGACAAGCATGGTGTGTGGGAAGGCCTTCAACCAGTTGTTGATTGAAAAATATCTCCTAAATTAGTATTATTTATAGGGTTAAGCAATAGTACACAAAGAATGAATAAAAAATTATTTTAAATGTTTTTGCCTAGACATATGTTAGTGTAAACTCACGGGAAAAACATTTAGAAAACACAATGTGCTCATCATTTGTTTTAGATAATTACACATTTGGATCCGTGCTATTTTATAATTTTACGGATGGTGGTGATTTGGGAAGACTGTTTAAACAAGTTCAGGATTGTCCCGATCATCGCTGATGATGATAATGGGGAGGCGTTTGAAAATAATCTTACAATCTAATTGGGATAACTTAGCAGGTTGCCTTATTTTAATTCTACCTTACGTTTGGAAAGGTTGATGTGGTGTCCGATCAAGAGCAGCGTTGCCTAGGAACGAAGTTGTCATTGGTTAAAAATGTACCTTAAAAACACGGCTCTTCAATCCACGAGGCATTCGTGAGAGTGGAGGCACTGCAGTCGATGTTGAGGGATTTCAAGCAATATGGCAGCTCTGGTATACAGTGCGCTACTTGATGAGCAACTCATGCCCATTATAGTTTACTTCTGTTGCAATAGACCCTGTTTTGGCACGTTGGTTGAATGTTCTGTTGAAATTTGAAAAAAAAACAATTGAAGTCATTCTCAATCCACCGATGAAGATCTTCCCACACCACGTTGTTTCTTGCTAGCCTCTTGACATGTTGGGCCTGTACTCAGGAACTACAGAAAACCCCCAAGTTATTAATGTATGTACAGTATGTTGCACTTCCTTTGCACCATACGTCCGTGCTAATTGGAGGTACGGGGAAGGACAAGAAACTAAACACAAAAAGCAGTACAATAGAAATTCGTTTTCAATCTATATTCAAAAGTGCATAGCTCCAGTGACTTCCTAATATCGGAAGGAAGGGCGTTCCAGATGGCCGCAGAAGCGCATCTGAAAGTGCGCGATGTGGTAACCGTCTTCGTTCGATGGCCAGCCAAAAGCTGCTGTGAGGATGACCGGAGTTTGCGTGATGGTTTATGCTCCTTGACGAGATGAGCGAGGTACTGTGGTTCACTTGTGGCAAGCCATTTGTGTGTAATTAACTTGTGTGTTCGTTCGGCAACCGAAAGCCAATGCAGCTCAACGAGCGCTGGAGGGATATAGTCGGATCTTGCAGTACCCATCGTAACGCCGTGCAAGAGCATTTTCTACACGCTACTGTTTAGAAATGATTTTCTTCCAGACATGGGGTTTTGACCATATTTCACCACATTTGTCAATGTGGATTGGCGAAGGGGGTGAGGGCAGCATTTGTTCTGATATCACTCGTCACTGATGTCAGCCATGGCAAGGAATAAAACTCGGAACACGAGTTTGATAGCGCTGCCCACTAATCACTCTACCACTGCTGGACTATGAAATCCTAATACAGTATGTCCCTTTAATTAGCATGCAGCTTGCAGACAGATGGTGTTACTTTTTAGGTAGTATCTATGCATTTGTGGTGTGTGTTTTGGAAGACGTACTTCTTCATGATGTTTATTAATCGTCATCGTCAATCCACTGCCAAATGAAGGTCACCCTAAAGTCTCCACGACCTCTCACGATCCTGCAATGTAATGGTCCACTCGGCAGATCGTTAATAACTATATTTGCGTGTTTTGTTTTTGGGATGCGGCTGCAGTCAGCAAACCCGACTGCTACGTGCAGCTGAATCTTCCCACCGCGTCTGCCAAGCCGGTTTCCACCAAAATTATCAACAACTCCAGCAATCCACAATGGGATGAGACGTTCTTCTTTCAGGTCCACACGGCACTTACGGTGAGTCGGGGCGGACACGATACAGCTCATTCTACTTCACCAAGATCCGTTTGCTCACAGTCTCCTGTTCCATTGTTATCACAAGTTTCACATCTCATTGGTGGGGGGGGGGGGGGGGGGGGATCTGTAGTACTGGCAATCGTCATGTCCCCTACACTGTCCTCCCTTGATTCACGAACTTTTTTGTTATTTGCATGAAAGATATGGTTGTTAAAACATCACCCGTGTGGAAAACTGTACAAGGTTTGCACACGTGTGAAGCTCGCGTTTTATTGACCACATTTTACTATGCATTGATGCTTTGCTGTCGTGACCAGTGGTGAGCCGAATTGCCAAAGTGATGTGCATTTCGACATTTCATCACTCCTGTATTCTCACCCATCCATCATAAGTTTGGTGTCCGCCTCAAAATTTGCCCCCTTCATCCATCAGCAACTCCAATTCCAGATCTGACTTTTGACCCTGTCCCCCTAACCCGACCCGGCACGATGTTCGCACCAGGCCGGGCCCGAGAGACCTGTCCTCACTGCGGCTTGTTCTCAGAAGCAGCCCCTCATTTCTGGTTAGCTCTCAGTCTGTGTGTTTTTGGGGTTTGTACCACGTGTTGTTTTGCATGACAGACGTTTTTTCGCTCCACGCTTTGGGCGCTTCTTCAGGAACTGAATTAAGTTAGCCGGTCTCTCCTGAACTGAATAAGCGTTAGCCCGTCCATTCCGTTCCTGAAAAAGCTTCCAGAATGTGGAGCCAAACATCGAAGATCATGCCGAATGACGCACGGTGCAAACCGAAGACGCATCGCATCATCGTAGAGCTGTACGGCATCACCGCGGACACCTGTGTAGTCATAACGTTGCTGTTTAACTCCACATCATGTGGCTCTCGGATCTCTGCAATGAAAACCAAACCTCACGCACTCTCAGAGCTGGGCCCACCACCCAGGCCAGCTCGTGACGTCATGGGGTGAACGCGAAAGTGAAGATGCGGCATGCCATGATTTTTACTTCACCCGGCAGTAATTATGGTAAAAATACACACTCCACAAATAATGACAAAACCATTACGATTCCTGTTAAGTTGCTGTAATAGCAGTTAAACTTGGTTTGAAAACACCGTTTTAATCACCACTGCCATATTTATGGAGGATGCCAGGGAGAGGAGGTTAAGCATGAGAAAGGCTGAGTACATGGAGTGTCAACGTAGCATTAAAAAATATATATATTTGAATCGTTGTTGGTCTATTCAATGACAACATGTGGCATTGAAATCAAGTATTAGTCTGAGGTTTGAAATGTCGTTATATTGGTTCAGTTGACTAAAGCAACTACAATGAAGCCATGAATAGTGTTGTGATGGGTGTGCAATTTTACACCCTTCCCAAATACTTTCAGGTCAGGCGAATCTGTAAATTTAATAAATCCCTTTACAGTATATACATATATCGCCCAGTTATGAATGTTGTCTTTCCTCAATGAACTTCAGTCTAATTGCACAGCTTTAGTCAGACGTGCTAATTTAATATCGTCAAAGTCACGCCTTTGTGGGTAGTTGCAGTCATCGTCACGCTCGACGAATTCCGTCCACTCGGTCATCGTTGACTGAGATAAAACACACTTTAATTAATTGAAGAATATTTTCATCACTAATTTCATTAACAAAATTATCGCTGGAGATGACAAACTGCTATTGGTGAACAATTCCTAGGTCAGCAGATCTCTCTTCCCCAGTAGCTGTTCAAATAAGCGACGGTGTGGAAAGTGCATATCGCACGGCAATGCACATTTAGGCAGTTTTAGGTTACGGATGGCACGTACGGTCGTTAGGCTGCACAATTTGCCAACGACCTACGAAAATAATTACATTAGGAGTAATATTGTCTTGGTTCTTTCGGTAAAGTCACGTAGTTAGAAAACTAAAAATCTAAATTAAAAGCGTTGCGATCGAAACGTCGTGGGTTTTTTGCTTTTAATTTAGATTTTTTGTTCTCTATCTATGTGACTTTACCGAAAGAACCAAGAAAATGAATTACTGCAGTCACGACAGTTTTAAGTCTACATTAGGAGTAAGTCAAAGAGATAGGGTAAGGAATGAATAATAAAGGGAAGAGAACAGGGGGCACCAATGCTGCTGTTAAACCAAAATAAATCAAGTGGGTATGGCACGACACGATCTCCAGAACAACAGGCGAACAACAATCGACGCGGCGTAGAGACTGAGGAGGCAAATAAAGTTGAGACTGGCAGTGAGATGAGCTCATTAAAAGACATTCCTGCGGAGGGAACGTTGGGTTGCTCGGTCAATGGCCAGGGTCAACGGCGGCGTGGTGTATTCCGCAAATATGCCTGAATGTGAGGGCAGGCACAAGCCTGCGTTAGTAGGTTAAACGTTGAGTTTTATAAGGGCACCACGGGGTGACCAGCCCCTCCCCACCCAGCCCTTCCACACCGTCCCCACCCAGCCCCTCCCCACCCTCCCCACCCAGCCCCTCCCCACCCAGCCCCTTCCACCCCCTCCCACCCCCCACCCAGCCCCTCCCTGCACGACGGACACAATAATCCCCTGTGGGCTGGTGTAACCTGGTTCCTACCAGTATAATTCATAGACCACTGCTGGACAAGAACTAACTGAACGAATGGAGGGAAATGAGGGATGGAGGTATTCGACGACGACGGCAACACGTGGGTTTAGTGGTTGAGGCAAACTTCAATGCAGAAATGTGAAGGCATTCATTGCCATAACGCCTTCATTGTTGTGAATGCAGCGTTATATTTGCACTCGGACTTGCAGTGTTGCATCATGTAAAGCCTGCGCCATCTGGCCTTTTTTTTACGCCTTACAGGTTTACCAATGTCGTGTGATTTAACATTCAATCAACAGCCGTCAACAATGCCAACATTGTATTTACTATTTATTTTTTTCCCCGAAAGTGGTGATAACATTGTTTTGCAGTGTGGTCACATAGATTGGTACCGAACGACATTTAGAATGCGCCTTGCGTCTCCAAAACCCAATTTAAAAAAAAACACATCAGGCACCTACGGTGACACGGTTATCAGCTTATCTCCTTGAGCTTATCATCTGACAAATAGCTTCACTAAGTGGCAATAATTACAAGTTTTGTTTTCCATACAGATGGGCCATGCATTACCTGCCACGTTGGCTTCACATCCTACTTGACATTCAGCAGCGTTATTTGCCAGAATTGTAACCAGATGCTGCTTTAAAAAAATCCAGAATACAGTGACTAAATGTGCAGAAAGCGTGTGTGTGTTCCTTTAAAGCAGTCGTTCTTTTTAACCTGGGGTGCACCCACCCCCTGGTTGGTGCGAGATGCCCTTTCTGGGGCTGCGAGAGACATGGCCAGATAGTTTTTAGAAGGTGAATAAATCATCGAAAGACAGATTAAGCACGGGCATGTAAGTGCAACTACTTTGTTTCATCAAACCCGATGTATTTATTAATAAATAAATAAATTTATGATTGAGAACCAAATTGGGGCGCAAGGCTCCAGTAAAGGTTAAGAACCACTGCTTTAAAGGGAGATATTAACGCATTTTAGGTGGTGAAATCTTTAGAGTGTTCATTTGCCTCTGTTCGAAACTGTCCAGTCATGTTACTCCTTTCCTCCGATCATACAAGTCACGTGCAAGATTGATAGTTGTTGTGTTTTGAGCTGCGTAATGTAATGGTGGGGTGGGGGGGAGTAGCAACACGGTGTAGTTAGTGAACTTAACGATGAATTCATTGACTTGAGCTTAACGAGGGTTGGCGATCTGTATTTGTCTTTGTGTGGATGTGTACTCTGTGTTTGTGTTGGGGAACTGGTTGACATGCCTGGCGCACTGTGCTGCCGCGAACGATATCTTTTATCATACAATCTATCTTTTAAACGTATTAAATCCTTTTAAATCGTTTCATCCTTTTATATAATTATTAATTGACCATACCTATCCACCCATACGGTTTACCCCGTTTGCTTGTCCAGGGAAATTTAGTTTTCAGGTCCATACAGCGTACAGCCGTTTCAATACGGGCAAAATAAAATTATATTTGTGTTTCTCCCTCGTGATGGGACTTTGCAGGATGAACGTTGAGATATATAAGGGCACGGGGTGACCAATGAGGTCTGAATTGGTCTGTAATAAGGTAGGCCCTGATACGGGGTTGACAGGTATGGTTGACTCATTTTCTCTACATATTTAAGTATCGTTATTTAGTTTTACTGCTTTGGTTATTACCTATTTTGATGCGGTCTTGTCTATATGTATCCAGGATGCACTTCTTTCACACCGTACGTAGCCAACCGTGCTAATCAGAGGTGCAGGGGAAGGACAATAAACTAAATACAAAAAGCAGTTCTAAACAAATGGGCCACTGTGTGAGTCTATGTATTTATGTTGAACTTTTTTCACACCGTACGCAGCCAACCGTGCTAACCGGAGGTGCAATGGTAGCAGCCGTTTAAGCTTCTCTTGGTGGTATCAGTTGTTCATGTAATCATCCCCTGGTCGTGTCTATAATGAGTGGATCACTTGGCACCGGTGCGGTACCTCGTTATTTTAAATAGTCAACCATTATTCCATAACTGAAGAAACAAAAGCTGAACCCTGAAAGTCTCGCAATTTATCGACCAATATTCTCTATTTACCTTTTGTCGAAAATTCTTGAGCATGTGGTGGCTCAGCAGGTAAAATATCAGCTTTCAGAATTTGAATTGTTTTAGACATTTCAGTCGGGCTTTAGAGCAATGCATAGTATGGAAACACCACTTGTTAAGGTTGCAAATTATTTATTGATGATAGCCATATTGTTACTTCTGGATCTTTTAGCGCTGCTTTTGATAATTGTTGTATCTAAATTTGTATGAACGTATCCTTAAGAATATTGGCTTTGTATGAAATGCTTTTTTTATGTGATCGTGGCATTCTCGAATGTAACATGTCCTGACTGTGTTTTCTGCACAACGCATGGCCATTGCTGGAATTCCTAATGACCTCCTCTTCCTTTTGACTCAACGGGCGATTGAAGATGGTTAAAAAAGAGACATCCATATCTTAGAGGCGAGAGTTAAACAATTTAATGAGTGTTGAGATTAGTGGGAGTAATTCGGAGGTTTATTTTCCTTGAAAATGTATCCATATAAATAGATTGCTGTGTATGTTGAAAATTGAAGTGCTGCACGTGTTGTTAGCCTTGACCAGGCAGGGCTGGCGCAATGTCTGAATAAAGTGATGCTATCGCCTCCTCCACCACCGTAGAACGTGCTGGAGCTCACCATGTACGATGCTGACATGATGAAGGATGACATCATCTCAAAAGTGCTGGTGGATGTCGAAAGTTTGAAAGTTGGAGAGAAAATCCACAAAAACTACATTCTTGACAAGAAGGTGAGCATTGTGAAAAGGTAAAGGTGCATCACAGCAGTTGTTTGCCCAAGGCCACTCCTGACAGAAGCGGTCGCAGTGTTCATGAAGGACCTCTGGAGCCCCTTTAGAGTGTATTTGGTCTTCTCTTCCATCTCTATCACACATACCAATGTGTCACACATACCAATGTGTGACTATAAAAGGGTTTTTTTAATCGGTGTATATCACCTTCTATGACACGGATCAGAAGCATGGACATTGACCAAGCAGCATAGAGAGATGCATGCCACGAGTTAAACCGAGATGGAAAGAGGAACATGTGGATAGCAGAGCAAACAAAAATTGGATACGTATGGTCGGATGACTGTTAAGGCAAGTGGGCTTGGTCAGGACTCATTGCCGGAAGGGTTGATTGGCCACGGAGGATGACAGCTGCAGAACGGGAGCGATGGTATATGTTGATACGTAGGAGCGATTATTGATTGTGGCATCATAAGCCTTTCATCTAGCAGTAGATAAATAATTATGATGACAACACTGTGCATGGAACAATATTGGATCTCTATTTATTCCTATCGGTCACCTTGTTTGGACATTACGAATGCAATTGTTACTCAATATTTTATACCTTCCTACAATATCTTTTACTTGAAATGGTATGCTCCTATCACGACCTTGTTTGATGGTTTTTTTAATATCTAATTATAGCTATATATGGTATACGGAGCCCATTGTGAATCTATTGCTGCTTGAAGGCCTTTCCATGCTGTACTGGTCATGGGAGTTAATTGACTCCATTTCACCATGCTGGTCAGTGTGCAGTTCTCTTTGAACGATTTTTCATCATTGTTTACTATATTGTATTGCTTTCATGGCACAAAGCCTCCGTTGCAAATGAGACTTGGTCTCAATGGGTTCTTGCCGAGTTTTAAACAATGGGTATCTTTTTTTTAAATCCTTTATATTAAGTTCGCTTGCTTGCTTGCGTGCTTGCTTGCTTGCTTACGACCGTGCAAATCTTTCGGTCGTTTTTTAGCCCACTTCCCGTGATCCAATCGAGCTGACATTTTGCACACAGACTCGTTGTGCGAGACAATTAATGTTCGTGAAATTTTTTTCCCAAAATTTTACACTGTTTAAGGAAAACAAATTAAATATTTAATTACCAATTGCTTAATACTGGCAGACAATCATCTGACCCATAGGTGGCAGCCATCTCAAGCCAGAGGACGAGAGGACTCTAGCCGCCACGCATATAAAGGATTTATAGTGAAAAACTTCGTTTTTACGGGTTATACTTATTTTATGGTCGCAAGAATCCTTCATCACTTTGGATGCGTGCGTGTTCCAAATATTTTAAAGCCATTGGCTTCCAAGGCACGCATCAGGCCTAGAGAGCAAACGCACAGCTGGCCATATCAATTAATTATTATTGCAGATTGTTTTATTTTGTGGCTTGGCATTGTGTGTATTTAAAATTTACCTGTATATGGGGATAAACAAAATGGTCTCTATTAAAAAAAAATTGGAATGTTTTCCTTTTGTTAAAGGCCAGCCATTTCATAGCTTCTGCATCTTTTGACTTCCTTGGTGATTTGTTTTGCACCATCTAGAAGAATAGCTATCCTGTGTATGTGGATTCTGGAGGCTAATGATCCTGTAATGCTCTTTCCAAAAAGTGGGCCATTATAGGCTGTTACCCATGGCCAAATTAACCACCCACAGTAAAGAAAAGGTAATCTTCTCTGGAAGGGGGTGAAAAAGGATTGGGGCGAATATAATTGTGTTTTTAGAAGCACGCTGCGTGGATGTCAATTCAACACAGTGTGCGACTGCATATTTTTTCTTTTTGAAATGAAACATTTTGTATGTAAACAGTGTATATGTGTAGCATCCTTGTATCGTATTAATCAATAGTTGTAGCAGAGCTGGGATTTTCTAAAAACGATGATTTATTTTGTGTTCACAATTTTCGATGTTTCGCTCCGCATGCTGGGAGCTTCTTCTGCACATAGACTGAATCGTCGAATATCATGAACAACGCAAAATACAACTTGAAAATCCATTAGAAAGCTGTACGACACAATTTTAAAAACCTACGCAGTGGTAAACTTAACACGTAGGTTTTTGTAATCAATATTACGATTCGGAATTGTTTTTTTTTATGTTTGACCATGTAATGTTCTGACCGGATATGTCATTAGGGACCCTCCACTACCCAATACAGCCAAACAATCCTTACAACCATATTTAGCAATCAGATCTTCTTTATTGATACATTTGGTTGGAAGTTAACAATGCACTGAAAAAGTAATAAACTGGCATGTTGAACGCTTGTACATGTGACAATTTGTTTGGCAGTGTTGAGGCTTTCTGATGACACTTATTTGGTCAAACCAATTGTGGCCTCACCCCCCCCAAAAAAAATCAGTTACGAATGATGCAGTAGTATTTTACTCTTTTCACTTTTTTCACCAAATACATGATGTCATCTGTCCATAAATCTTCAGATAGTTGGACCTCATTGGAGGACCTCAAGGGCTCTTGTCCAAAGAACATCTGCTGTTGACCACTTTGGATAATCTATCCAATGGAGCATGGAAGATAATTGAGCAATTTATTCAGATGGCTGTGTTGTGCCTGTCTTTTGCTAAACGCAATGACCGTTCTCTCATTTGTAGGCCGAAACGTTGCTTGAGGTGGAGCTTAAGTTGGAAGAGAGGTGAGGCTGGCATGCATTCCTTCAAAACTATCCTGAAGCAGAATATTAGTGCTAGACACAGCCACATTTACAAATGTAAAATGTAACTATGATCCATACCTGTGTATCGATAGTCCAATGTGAATGTGCCGTTTTATTGAGGGACTACTGCTGTGAGAAGTTTGTCATTGCTCACTCCCTGCATCACCAAGTCAGGTCATAAAATGTATGAGCATTTTTGCAGTTTTCTCTCTGTAACCATTTTTTATGTATTTTTTTTTTTGGGGGGGGGGGGGGATTTGAGGTGTAGGAGACCATAACTTCAAAAACCCATTGAAAGTGACGACAATTCATGCAGGAACGTTAATACTTTTATCACGGGTATCGTACTTTGGGAATGTATATGCATGCAGAAATCGAAGGACATAAATGTTACTCATTTTTGCCATTTTTTCTTTCACCATTTCACTCTAAACAGATAGTAATAATCAAATTCAAAGTGACTTCCTGCTCAATTGAGCATTAGGGCGGTGCTTCTTTCATCAGACCATAATACAGATCTAAGCCAGTGGTGGAAATACCACATTCCCATGGTGGGGGAGGGTCTATCCATAGCATAAACACTTTTGACTTCCCCACAAAGTGGTAACAATGTTATCAACCTAGGAGGGATGGTGGGTACAGTCAACATCAAAACCAGGATTTGAACTTGCAGCAACCTCCCGATTGCAAGCCGCTCACTTTATCACTCAGCCAGCTGGCCTAAACACATTTGTGAAATGGGACACACTTATTTTGAAAAGCGTCAAGGGTTTAGTTAATTATGAAGGACATAAATGGTGATTTAAAAGCCCCCTATGTTAGTCGAGGGTTGTAATTTGGAGGTCATGGCTCAAATAGTTTGAAGTCGTATGTCCCATCCAACAATTTACAGGGACCTGAAATTTTAATTGTGTTCAAATCTCATACGAGTATCTCTGGGTTTTTTTTTTTAAAAGAAAATTCGAGATGGCTTGGTGTGGAACGTTTGAAACATTACCGCTTTTTTGCCGTATTGGTTTGTGCAGATTGGGGAGTTAGCAGAGCCAGATCGGGTATGACTCACCACTGATGTTAGCGATGACTCGGACTAAAACTCGGGTCATCTGAGTTCGTAGCGCAGTGCGCTTGCCACTACGCCACATCTGCACTCACGCGCTTAGTATCCCACTGTAAAATAATTGTCAGTGTCTCTTTTGCTATGTACCCTCCTCCCTGGTTGTAATGCTGCCACTCTCCTTATATGCCTTGTGATTACCTAAACTATACCCAATTTCAAATTGACTTTACTGTTCTGTAGCTGATTGTCTACCCTCATTTAATCAACCACTAACAGGATGTAGAACCCAACAATGGCTGGGTGATAGATTTTGTGGCGGAGGGAAGATAGACTAAAGAAGTCAAGCTGGGTTAAGCCACAGTATATTCCGTAAGTCCCGTAGGAATATCTTAGCCGAGATTATCAAGTATATTGCATTCTGTTAAATTGAAATTCTATTTTCTTTGCAAAGTGATTTTGATCGGTGTGGACTGGGCAGGCTAACGCACGTGCTGCAATCTGTCGAATATTACACGCTTACAGTAGAATAGTTTTTTTTTTATCCAAGAGGGTGTAAAGGTTTTATTTTTTAATATGGAGTCTAAATCACTTAGCGATGCTCACAGTAGGACTAACATTTTTTCACATTTGATAAAATCAGTGCATTATAGTTTCCTTAAGTGCGCACGTGTGTACGGACATCAATAATGAAATGTGGCGTATGACTCGGCGGTCAATGGTTGTTGTCCAAATGCGATAAGCATTTCCTCCGCTTTCTTTGAGGCAGTTATCAATTTGCAAACAAAGCAATTAGCATTCATAATAGATTCTTGGTTTAGGCCACACTATTTGACCATTTTTGTGTCGTTAAGACCCGACTCGGCCACACAAATTGTCAATTCTCACAACCAAATGTAGCGAATATATACACGATGTTTCATTTGTAATTCCTTTTAAACATAAAGGAAAATATCCAGGAGGTCTCATTAAATATTCAAGAAGTAATTATGATTACAGTTTGATATGTAGTTTCAAAGCCACTGCTGACAGAATAGCTAATTTTTGGTTGTGAGAATTTCTCTTCAACTTACCAGTGAGCGGAAACAAAAATGACTGGGACTATATAAATGCTCGTCACACCACGTGACAATTAAATGCGTGTGGTTGTGTGGGACAGTGGAGGGTCTTAATGACACAAATTTGGTCAGACCGTTACGGGGGCCTAACCCAAAAATCAAAGTACGAATCGTTACATTGGCTGCAAAAGCCTGCGTGTTAAGCTATTGCAATTGGCATTTGGGAAATTACTTTGTACAACCTTGAACGTAAGAATCTTGTTTTGAGTTGTTGACGGTCAATGGTTAAAGCACTGTAGTCTTCCCTGCTTCTTCTGCGGAGAAAAGGACGAGTGAAACTACGTGAACTCTCTGCTGAAGCCCTTCTCGTGGCTCGCAGACCTCGACATTGTTATAACGCTCCTGGACATATTGCCACATGCAAGCAATGAAGAGAACATCAATTTCTGGATTGTGCTGCTCCACTATAGCCTTACAAAAGAGGTTGTCTGAAAATGTTCTTGAATTTGATGCTGTTTTAGTTTGAAACCTACTGTGCATGGGAGTGAAATGTATTAGTGTTGCCGTGAAATTCGTCACATAATAGCTAATTTCAGCGATTGCAGCCGAATAGAAAATCTTCACATCGACGTCCGTTTGCCGCCTGTCCACGAAATCGGTGTTTTTTTGGGCCAGTGTTTTAATAGGGCACACGCGGTCGTCGCAGTAGATCACTTGCAAATGGTGCTTTGATATCAACAGCCTTTTATGCCACTTACAACCATTATTGCCTCTAAACGTGCATGCATAAGCCCATTTGTCAACCCACTGCAGAGTGAGGGCTCTCGAAACGTCACACAGGCAGGCAGGGAGGGTTATTTGACTGCTTCACTGTTGTTAGTAAGTGCACCCCAGCGCAGAAATTCCTCAACATAAACTATGAATGTTGATTTAGTATTTTCAATGCAATATTTCACTTCATACTTTAGTATATATTTGCATTGATGAAATATATAAGATTAATAAATAAATTGGATGTATTTGTGTTTTATCCAAACAACTAATGCCACCATGAATATACCTAATTTCTGTCTCTTCCCAGTGATTCTCCAGAGTGTCCTGTTTACACCAATGGGATCCTTTCGGTAAGAAAATAGATTTGTGTCGTTTTATTTGTTCAACCTATATTAAATTTTTTCAGGCAAACGTCACCAGCAATAATACACGGACACATGTTCATTTGTGTACGTAGCATTAAAGCATTATGCAAGTGTTATGTGTGTTTTTTTATCACGATCCTATTGACGTTCCACATCCATTTACGCACCTCCTAAAAATAAAGCGACACTATCATAAAGCAGCTTTCTCACTCCCAACTGTGGTGTTTCAGGTTGAGTCTCGTGTTTTCTCAAGCTTTCCCCATGCACGACTGCAGGCATTTTCGGTTTTCTGGACCCCCGCCATCCCCTTGTGACACGTATGAGTTTAACCATGGCTTGGCGTGCAGGCATATTTCATCGCGAATAATTCAAGAAATAAACAAAACGTGAAAAAATACATCTGACACAAATTGACGAAATTTTATCAATGCCGACCAATTTAAGTTTCGAAGCCCCGACGGCCTGTGTTATGAATCGCCGCGATACGCAATTTTGAAGGCCCCTTGGCGCGCGCTCTGGGATTTGACGACGCCCCCCACCATGCAGTTCCACCTACACGGTGTGAAACGAGCACTTGCCATTTGTGTCTACGTCCGTGTTGTTTACAATCACACTGCCTGCTCCGCTCGTGGTGTCGGCGCCTCGTTCAATGCGGCTCGAAACGGGGGGGGGGGGGGGGTGCGCATTCCCCGCGCGCGCGCACGCGGTCCCTTTATTTGTAACAAACACGCGGCACGCGAGAAATGAAAATAGATTGTGTTCTCTCTCCCCTTCATCAGATTCGGCCCTGCATGGAGCTCATTGTCGCTCTGCAACACGTGGCAGAGAAAGGCAAGCAGGGTAGGTGATTGTTGTCATGTCCTAGGGATGGGGGGTGTAGTAGGTGGGGAGTGGTGGCATAGTGGTTAGTGCACTGCATTTTAAACGCAGCGACCTCCAGGGTTGGATTCCGGGCCATGGGTTCCATCAGTGGCAACTGATATATGAACGACTCCTGGCGTGGGTGTGATGTGTACATATCAGCACTGGCGTAGGTTCTGGCCAAACCACCCCCTCGTGTGCTGTGCCATCCTTCATAGGTGTTCGCTCAACAGCACTTGCCCCAACCGTCTGTGAAAGGTGAGATGGTGGGTCTTTGTTTTGGTGTAGCGTAAAGTGCATGTATTCGTTTTTCTTGCAAGATTATTATGGGCATGCACGAACCCAGCCAACAATTTGAGTATCTCAACATGAGCTGAACATCGGCAGGTTTCGCTCTGCCTTGAATGAACTCCTGGTGCCATTGGACTGACATAATTTGTCATTAGGGTAGTCGGCAGTGTTAAGATTCAATAGGGTGCATTTGCACATGTCGATGTGACCTGTTGTGTCCCCACAGAGTGTGAAGAAGAGATGCAGTATTTGTCCGTGTCGGTTCCGCCGTCGTACGAGCGCGAGAGACTCACCCCGTGCTGGTCACCGCTGGCCACTGCTTTGGATGAGAACCTGACCTTCCACGTCGATTCTGGTTTCCAGTCGGCCAAGCTGAACGTGGGCCTCTACAAGGACCACGACATCGTGAGTTAACTCTGCGTAAACCGAGAGTCGTGCTGAGCATTGAGCACAACACTCAAATAACTCCTTAATCGTAGCTGCACCCCTTCTCTGCAGCTGCGTCAGTTCACGAGTGATCCTCGATTGCAGGATGTGAATGCTCTAGAGGAGGCTTATGTAAATTGCTCGGTCACAGTTGCCATTGGTTGCTATTGCATGACGACAGCAGCTAAAATGTCCACAGACATTTGAACAGATGCATTGACGCATTTCTCTTTTTTGCGTCAATTTGTGCAAGTTGAGTCACGGCTGACCAATGCGGAATAATATCCTCTTCAATTGATATTACTGGCATCCACTTACTCTTACTTGATACAGCTATCGTGCTGTGACGGTTCCACCTGAAGACGGAAGCTTGTGTTGCCTCCGAAACGTCGTGATTTTTATTTATTTTTATTTTACTTTTATTAATTTTAATTAACATTTTTTACCTACGTGACTTTACCGACAAAACCTAAGAATATCACTGGCATCGTGTGCTGTTTACTAAGGGGGGCCTCCTGACGAGGTAAGAGTGCAGTCCTGAAATGTCTTTCTCAAGCCACAGCTGGCGGAACGGCCTCCACTCGAGGGAGCTCGACAGAGCCCCCTCTGGACAGGGTATTTGGCCTACACTGCCACACTGGCCAGATGAGAACTGCTTGTAATTAGAGGACATCCTCGTGTGTAGCTTTTTCCGACTTAAATGTCTTCCCTAAATTCCCTGTAGATTCTTTTGGTAAAGTCACGTAGATAGAAGACGAAGAAGAAGAAATAAAAATAAAGTGAATGCAAATATCACGACGTTTAGATTGCAACACAAGCGGTCGTCATCAGGCAAAGGAGTTAGCCTCTAAAGGCAAACTGGTTATAAAGGTTTGAGGATGGGCGTAGCCCCAGTGTATCAGCAGCACCAGCATCATGGGTGGTGCAACAATGCCAATGCAGCAGCAATGCCAATGCAGCAGCAATGCCAGTGCAGCAGCAATGCCAGTGCAGCAGCAATGCCAGTGCAGCAGCAATGCCAGTGCAGCAGCAATGCCAGTGCAGCAGCAATGCCAGTGCAGCAGCAATGCCAGTGCAGCAGCAATGCCAGGCCGAATTCATCGGGAGCTGATGATACTGACCGTTTACACCAAAATATAATTGCGTGAATGTTTACACGTGTGCGCCTGTTGCCACGTCCTTTATGGGTGTTGTGCAGTGTATTGGAGGTCATTTTCATGCTTCCTGGGGTTGTCCATAACGCTTACGATGTAGCCACCGTTGTGATTGTCTTTCCTGTCTCTCAATTACATTTTTTCGTGCAAGGTCAGTTTGTCACGGCATGCGCTATCAGCTTGACTCCTCTTAATGCTGCAGCGTGTCTCGACATATCCCCATTAATCTTGTTTTCATTACTGCTGTTCACATATTTTACTTTGCATTTTATTGCATTCTCTCTGTATCGCTTTGCTGCTCTGCTGTTGTAAACAGCCGCTATCATTTACCAGCAGTATTATGGCCGATGACCGCAGGCAAAAATCCAGCCCAAATGCTTTGTTCTGTTAAAGGTGACCATATGGTTTATTTGTGACTTGAATAAAACCGATATATAAACTACTCAAAGCATAGAATAATACATGTTCAATTATATTTCCCATTCTACAAAGGGGCTTTGAGATGCTTTTTCAATTATAAATATATTATTGTTATGCAAATGTTGGGGTTTAGCATGAAACATCAATTTTTGTTTGCACAATTCAAAAGAAGTGCAGGAAACATCTGCTGCAACGAATGGGCTGATATTTTTAAATCCTTTATATTAAGTTCACTTGCTTGTGCGCTTACGACCGTGCAAATCTTTCGGTCGTTTTTTAACCCACTTCCCGTGATCCAATCGAGCTGACATTTTGCACACAGACTCGTTGTGCGTGACAATTTATTTTCGTGAAAATTTTTTTCCAAAATTTTCCACTTTTTAGGAAAAAAAATTTTTCATTTAATTTAAAATACCAATGCGATAAAAATGAAACTCTTACTCAAGAAAAACAGAAATGAATAATAAAATAAAACCGATGCCACGCATATAAAGGATTTATAGTGAAAAACTTTGTTTTTACGGGTTAATTTTTTAAAGAAATGTCCCAGGATGCTCATGCTAATCCTCCTTCCTGACATGAGCTTGAAGTAGTGGCCTTCTTGTGCATCAGGGACTCAAAAGTCAAGCCTGCAAGACACGTCAAAGTCGCATGTTTATGTAACGGGTTCCGGAGACACTTGTAGAGGTAACTTCTTTATTACAATCCAACAGCACTCCAACAGTCCTGATACTCTGTTACAGCCTAGGTACACAGCCTAGGTACACAGCCTAGATCCACTACTCTGGCTACGCTCTGGAACTCGCCCTCACAAGGACGTAGAGCCGGGAGTTCCAGAGTCCCACCACTGGCTCTCACAGCATCCCAGGGTCCTGAGATGGCTGGTCTTGGGTCTTGGGTCTTGAGCTACAACTAGCCCTGATCGTCCAGGGAGCTCCCCTTTTATGCCTAGTCCCCAACGAGGGGTGGGGCCGTGTGCGCCCCCAGATATACCACCGAGCACACACAGCCCCCCCCCGTTGGTGGCGCCAAGGGGCTTAAGCGTCTGGGCCGCCCGGGAACCCAGCACCTGGCGCCAAGAAGCTTAAGCGTCTGGGCCGCCTGGGAACCCAGCGCCCGGTGCCAAGGGGCCCAAGCGCCTGGGCCGCCCAGGGTCCCAGAGCCCCCAGCAGCCCCTCCCTTCTTATGTCACTACATTTATAACAGATGTCTATAAAACGCGTTGCAGTAACACGAAATGGGATGTATGTATGTTTAACTTCTTCTTGGTTCTTTCGGTAAAGTCACGTAGAACGGAAATAATAAAATAATAAAAATACAATTCTCACGACGTTTCGGCCACAACACAAGCAGCCGTCCTCAGGTGAAGAAACAGAGCTGTCGGAAAGACAGCGCTCCAATGACAGTTCTGTTTCTTCACCTGAGGACGGCTGCTTGTGTTGTGGCCGAAAGGTCGTGAGATTTTTCTTTTATTATGTTTTATTTTATATTATTTTATTATTTCCCTTCTACGTGACTTTACCGAAAGAACCAAGAAGAATATGAATCCCTGCAGTCACGAAAGCTTTACATCAAAATTATGTTGAACTTCTTTCGCACCGGACGTAGCCAACCGTGCGAATCGAAGGTGTGGGATGGGTGAAGAGGCCTAAGTGCATACTTGGCAAAAGGAGCTGGTGGTTCAATGCCTTTGAGTGGCAGTTTAAGGGTTATGATGCACAGCACTGTGCCAATTTGGCCAAGAATAAATGTGCGATTTGCATATATCTTATTATATTATAGGACTTGCTTTAGCATATCCCGTTCTTTACAATATTCATCTTAAAAGCTTCTGGCAAAACGTAATTGTGGTGTGGTGTAGTATCCAGTATCAGGCGACAGTCTACATTATAGACTGCCAGTACACTCACCCAGCTTAATAACCAGGCTACAGTCTACATTATAGACTGTTAGTACACTCACTCTGATTAAGAACCAGGCTACAGTTTAAATTCGTGTTTTTTTGTCTTTTATTATATTTTTTATTCACTTTATTATTCTTTTTTTCTATCTACGTGACTTTACCGAAAGAATCAAATATATTTTTTTTTAATTGTGATTTTTGGCCAATTTCAGTTGAATTGTATATTTTATTTGCAATGGGAGGAAACCAAAGAACCTGGAGGAAACTCATGCCGGACAATGTCAGAGCATACAAACTCCACACAGAACGGCACCCACACCAGGAATTTAACCCAGGCCCTTGCTGTGAGGTACAATTGTTACCACATCGCCACCCAGTCACCCATTTACAACTTGTGCAAGCAATGTTGTGGCACTGGAAGACAAACAAATTAGAGTGTGTTTGTGGGTACCTCTCATCTGGACATTTCTTGAGCCCCGTATAAGACTTAATTACATATCCAAGATGCAAGTCTTTGACCAGGTTAAATTGCCTCATGTTGAGCCCTTGCTGTTGAGTCGTGTGGTTCAATGTATTTGTGGAAGCAGACCCATTTTTTGGTTGATATATATTAATCATTTTTTTGGGCAGATATTTTTTTTTGCTGTGGAATTTAAGCTCACGCACACGAAGGCCAAGCAAGCCGTGGCCACACTGCAATTCCAACAGCTGCAGCTGGACTCTGAGATAATGCTTAATGTGACTGGCGGCATACTAACAAACTGCCTCTGACACACGGGCTTTTACTTTGTGGAAGAATTAAATGGCAATCTATGATCGGTTTGTATGTACTGTAAACAAATACAAATAAAACATAATAAAATAATTCTCACCACGTTTCGGCCACAACGCAAGCAGCCGTCCTCAGGTGAAGAACAGGTCTGTCGCAAAGACAGCTGTGTGTGGCCGAAACGTCGTGAGAGTAATTTTATTATGTTTTATTTTTATTATTTTATTATTTCCCTTCTACGTGACTTTACCGAAAGAACCAAGAAGATGAATCCCTGCAGTCACGAAAGCTTTCAAACAAATAGTTTGTAACTTACATTTTCACTCGCTTCTGGCCCTTTTTGTAACACACTGCCAATACGTATTTTCTCAATGTCACCGAAAGGCTAACACTACTTGACATCTGTGTCTTTGCCATACAGACAATTTAATGAAATCCAGACATTCGAAATGTTCACACATGCTTTATCTATACTATTAAATAGAAATTCTGGTATTCGTTACCTTTTTATTGGTTTGTGTGTTTGTACCACATCATTCGCAATGTGTAGTCCAATCTATTTACTGTGTTCAACCCGCAATACTGCTGCTCGAAAACACATCTCTTTCCGAGTTACTTTTTCCAAAGTCCATTGCTGCTAAACTTTGGATTTTCCTCCCATCGTCTCTTTACCCAAGCCCTTATAACTGAGCACAATTCAAGAAACGTGTTTAACTCCAACCTAAAGAAACTTTATAACAGCCTATATGTTACTGGCCACCTAAAGTTATGGGCCTTTGCGCATGTGTTTGGCAACTGTGTAAAATAATAATACTACAACAATGCTGTAATATTCATCCATCATACAACATCCTTGGCAAAACTCGACTCCAACTTTCCCCATCCAAAACCTCTCCCCCTGGGTCTAGTGTGTGGCGATTTAAGCAGCTTGTGTTTCCTATTAAAGGTCATCTACTTGGTGGCAACACTAGCACACGCAGCAGCCTTGTTGTAGAGAAAGTATTGTAGGGGCTTCATATTCTTAGGTTTTTTCGGTAAAGTCACGTAGGTAAAACATTAAAATTAATGAAAGTAAAATAAAATAAAAATCACGACGTTTCGGAGGCAACACAAGTCTCCGTCATCAGGTGGGACCGTCACAGCCAGATTTGCTGCATCAAGTGAGGCAATGATTCAAGATGTAATCCCTTAAAAGCAAGTTGAGGGGGAGGAGAGGGGGGGGAGCTCATCAGAATGTGGTAGCCAATGAATGGAACGTATCGGGAGGGAGGGGGACGGGGCTCAAAGACGGCACGAAGTGCCACGTAGAACGCATCGGGAGGGGGAGGGGGGCGGGGTGGTACACGAGAGTCGGCGACGTGGACGTGGTTGTGCGCAAGCTACTGCTGCACACGCCAACGCATTGGACAGAGAGGGGGAGGGGAGGCCATAAGAGAGTTTTGGGTGTAAGTGTACGTGGACATGTGTGTGTACAAGCACCTGTTGATACACATGATAGAAAAGAACGAAAATGCCCATGTTTATACCAGTGCTGGCTGAACAATGAAGAGAGTACTGTTAAACACTGGGGATGTTAAGGGATTACATCTTGAATCATTGCCTCACTTGATGCAGCAAATCTGGCTGTGACGGTCCCACCTGATGACGGAGACTTGTGTTGCCTCCGAAACGTCGTGATTTTTATTTTATTTTACTTTCATTAATTTTAATGTTTTACCTACGTGACTTTACCGAAAAAACCTAAGAATATGAATCCTTGCAGTCACGAAAGCTTCAAATCTAGAATTATTGTAGGGGCTGTTGTCACTGACACAACAGTAAACACAATTCATTGGCCTCTCCCTTAGATGGGGGGAGGGGGGTGATTCTTAATGATACAATAGTGGATTTAATTTCAGCAGGGACTATAACCCACATTTCCACGTTGCTAAATCTGTTTTTCAAGCTGCTTGGTCTCCAGTGGGAGAAATAATTTGTGGTTTATTTATATTATATACTGAAAACTTAAACAAAAAGTGGAAAAAATGTGTCTGTGGTTTTGTAAAACATTCCAATCAGTTTACAATTTGTTATCAACATCCTGTTTTAATATACATTTTCACTGTATGTACAACTTGTGAATAATAGTGAAAACATTTTTTTGATTAGTAATCGTTTTTAATATTTTTCTATTATTACAATACAGTGGTACTTGGTATGTTATATTAACTTTCATTTCAACATTGTGATTAGTTGGTCCTTTCATTTAAAGTGGTATCGAGCCTGTTTGCCAAGCATTTATATAGAAAAAAAACACATCTACATGTACATATAATTCAGAGATGAGAACATGCACATCTTTTAAATAGAGGATTGAGGGTCACTGCTTTTATAACCGATATTAACAAATGTTAATTTCGCGTTTGCTTACGAGTAATACAATTATTGAAATACATGAAAAAGGTAAAATGTAACTCTATGGTTGATTTTAAAATGGCCTAAATCAGACACCCCTTATGCACGATGGTGCATATTGAAAGCTCGCGTGTCTGGCATGGTTTTAAAAATTTCTGCTGCCTTTTCTATGAAACCATACTGGCAGGCAGCTTGAAATTGAGCATTGCTTTTTACACTTGTACTTTCCGAAATGAACTTCCTGCTCCCACACTCCCTCCCACGGTGCCTGCACCGACTTGAGCGGCTGATTAGGCTGCCATAAGGTCGCTATAGACAAATTGTTTGGCTGTTCACAGCCGTAAGGCAAGTGTCCGAAATGAGGGTGCGTAGTTTATCTCGGTGCGGATGTTTTGGTGTGTACTAACCGCTACGCCACAGCGGTTAGTTGCGCCGCGCTACGAACCTGGCGACCCGAGTACGATTCCCGCTCACGGCCAACATCAGTGATGAATATCTGAACCAGTCCTGGGCCTCCCCTAGATCGACTCGTCCTCAAATGAGTACCTGGTGCATTACGTTACAAACATGGCCACTAGGGAGACAAAGGCGGCCGGGTGTGGTGCTGGCCACCCACCCCCTCGTGCCGTTCCAGCCTTCATTGGTGCTCGCAAACAGCACTTGCCCCAAAAGTTTGTTAAGGCTATACGGGGAAACTTTGTATTTGTGATGTAGTTTAGTTAATGCTCAAACATTTTCACCCCTGCTGTATGAGGCCTCCCTCACGGAGTCATGTACCTTTTGATTTTTTTTTTATAACCTCTGCATGGTTTGTGTTTACCCAATTTGGTATTTCATTATCTAGTATTCTTTCAGCAGCGTTATTCACATTTGTATCTGCTGATAGATTGTGCGAACCTGCGAATACCGCAGCGTGGCTGCAGTTCGGTGCCACTGCGTAACTCGGGTGCTGTGGGTTTCGATCAACAGATGTTTCATTCGGACAGCTGAAAATCGTTTGCATTCCATAAAGCCGTATCCCTTGCACACACCCAAAGATAAATGTCTTGTCGGTGTAAACCGGGGATTCTGCTTTTGTTTAACGGTTAGAGCTCTCGACTTGCAACCCAGTACGATTTCCCGGCGTGGCAGTGGAAACAACGTTGCCAGCTTCTTAGACCCCCCCCCCCCCCCCACACACTCTGCTGTCTCTATCCACCCAGCGATATCAATGGGGGCACCACAGTTAGTCGGATAGATTGCGGGTGTGCTCACCGAATTCCATACGTCTGACCATAGTGGAAGAGTAGACAAAAATACCCTCTGGAGGGGCGCTCTAGAGCTCGTTCTGCCGCCTGCCGTGGGGAGTGAGCAAGACAAGCGCAGGGCTTTGCCTCTCGTGAGTAAACTGGGCAATAGTCTGTAAATGTGCAAATGTTGTTTATTTTTTGGCCTGTAGAGTGAAAAGTTCCCGGAGGAGAGTGGGCTTGGCACAGGATCGGTGCCCCTCACCTACAAGAATCCGATTGAAAACGTGGGAGTGCAATTGCCACTTGGCAAAGACAAGGTGAGCTTGTTACTCAATAAAAATCAGTGTCACTGGAATCAAGTAGAAACCAAACAATACTCTTAGGTTTTTGCGGTAAAGTCACGTAGGTAAAAAATAAAAAAGTAAATTAAAATTAATAAAAATAAAATAAAAATCACGACGTTTCGGAGGAAACACAAGCTTCCGTCTTCAGGTGGAACCGTCACAGCACGCTTGCTGAATCAAGTAAAAGCGAGCGTGCTGTGACGGTTCCACGTCGTGATTTTTATTTTATTTTTATTTAACTTTCTTTTATTTTTTACCTACGTGACTTTACCAAAAAACCTAAGAATATGAATCCTTGCAGTCACGAAAGCTTCAAATCTACAACTACGAGTGTTGTATCATCGTCGTCATCATATATACAAGGACTGTTTTCTTGGAATTTCTCATTTACTTGATACAGCTATCGTGCTGTGACGGTTCCACCTGAAGACGGAAGCTTGTGTTGCCTCCGAAACGTCGTGATTTTTATTTAATTTAAATTTATTTTTTTATTTTTTACCTACGTGACTTTACCGGAAAAAACCCAAGAGTATGAATCCTTGCAGTCACGAAAGCTTCAAAACTAAAAACCAAACAATGTTTACACAATCAATATAAATATCCCTGGATAAATATTACATCTCAATACTGGTTTAAGTGTTGTTTAGATGCCTCATCGTTTGCAATATTGAAACAATGTAAATAATGCAGTGTTTTAAAAATAATACGACTCGAGTAGAAAATATTGCCGCAGTCAATTCTGCTTTTGATTTTCTCTTTTATTTTCAGGAAACGGAAGTGGACCTTACCTTAAAATATAAATCCAGGTAATATGAATATGGTCAGTAACATTTATGGAAATTGGTTTCACCAGCTCGGAAGCAAAAGTCCGAATGCGTGACTTTCAAACAAGTCAAATCTCGTCAATCTGCATTCAAAGAGCAGCGAACTTTGATGATTTGTATTTCTCGATGCGTGTTTGTGTGCGTTCCTGGAGCGGTAGTGTAGCGGTTAGCGTGCTGCGCTACAAACCCGTCGATCTGAGTTTGATTCCCGCTCATGGCCAACAACAGTGACGATTATTTAAACTGGTCCTGGGCCTCCCCCAGGTCGACTCGGCCTCAAATGAGTACCTGGTGGTGTGTGTAAACATCACCACTGGGGAGACGAAGATGGCCGGGCATGGTGTTGGCCACCCACCCCCTCGTGTGCTGTTGCCGGCCTTCATAGGTGCTTGCGAACAACACTTGCCCCAACATTCTGTTAAGGCTATGGGGGGGGGGGGGGGAGATCTTTGTCTTTGTTCTTGATAAAATTAAATATTGAAGGGTCTGTCTCATGCATTGGCTGACAGTGTCACGACCACAACACAGGCATCGATGCTGCTCTATTCAGCACCTTCCAATGGGCAAAGAGCCACTGTGAATTGCTCCAGACGAGAATCCATTTGGATCCGTAATTTGGGCCGTCACCGCAGCCGCCGTGTGGTGCGTTTTCATAACGCGCGTGGTGTCAGCAGCGTATCGATCTTATCGTTTTCAGAGGTGTACCTGCTCTTCGCCTTGGGTTTGACCTCTCAGATGGCGAGAAAGAATTTCTGCAAAAAAGGATGAAAGTGATGCCAGCAGCTTTCCAAAAGTTTTTTAATCTCAAGGCGACACCACACGAAAAGGAAGTAAGGATCATAAAGACTGTAAATAAATGACCTCGCGATACCATAATCTGATGCAAAACAGAATATGGCACGAGTTTTTAAATGTCCACATTATTTATTTTCAAACCTTGTGTTTAAGGCTATTCCTGGAGAACTTACATTCCTTCATAGTGTTTTAGTTTCACTTTATAAAACCTATTTAAATGATCCGATACCCCATATACCTATGATGCTGTTTGGCTATTTCAATTAAACATCTTTCATAATAGAATGATATCCATTTAAACATGGAGTTAAATGTTAACATGTACTTATAAAATGATTGTATGCTTCCCACAGCGGTGTTAAGTTATAGTGGTTTTTATACATTTATAGACATTTAGATCGCAAATTAATAGGAAGATCGCGCAGTGTGTCAGAATATTTTATGGTAAGGGACTGTCATCTGTGCTGTTAAATGACTCAATGAAATAAATCTGGAGCCATCAGTGCAATTCCCTCTTTGATTGCAACAACGACAGCTAACCTCATCATTCCAACTGGCAGCACAGCAACTGGGAATACAAATGAAAGTATAAAACCTACTTGTTCAATAAAATGTCTACCTTGTTTGCTGAGAGTTGCAGGTCACAGGGTTAAGTAATATGTACGTGCAAATAACGGAACTCGGCTCTGTGGATCGTCTGTGTGAAATGAGTTGTGTCCCGACAGTCTGCATTCTGACATGTGTTCGTGCCCTTGGCCATGCTAAGAGGCAGCCCCACTGACAAAAGTAATTTCCAGCTTCAAAATTGCTTAATAGTTTTCTGTTAATAAATATGAATGGCATGCAAGGGAAAAATTTAACTCGATGGATTTGAATGACAGAACGAGATATACGACATACGAACGTGTGACTTTGAAGAGTCAAGAAATGATGTTGTGCTGCCGAGTAAAAAAAAAATTAACCCGTAAAAACAAAGTTTTTCACTATAAATCCTCTGGCTTGAGATGGCTGCCACATATGGGTCAGATGATTGCCTGCCACCATTAAGTAATTGGTAATTAAATATAATAAAAAAATTTTCCCTAAAAAGTGTAAAGTTATGGAAAAAAATTTTCACGAAAATAAATTGTCACGCACAACGAGTCTGCGTGCAAAACGTCAGCTCGATTGGATCACGGGAAGTGGGTTAAAAGACGACCGAAAGATTTGCACGGTCGTAAGCGCGCAAGCAAGCAAGAAAGTGAACTTAATATAAAGGATTTAATAACACCTAATTCTGAGTAACATGTAATGGCCTTTAGGTGCCTGTGGTGGCAGTGTTGGGTTCTGGGGGCGGCATGCGAGCCGCGATCTCCCTGTTTGGCTGCCTCTTGGCTCTCGAGGAACAAGGTCTCCTCGACTGCATCACCTACATGATCGGTGTCTCTGGATCCACCTGGCAAGTAACTGCTCACTTCTTTCTGCCAGTGTCAATTTTATATACAGGGTGCTTAAAAAATTTTAACACTGAAATGGGACTATCGTTTTTAATGGAAAAGAATGGATGATTATACATTGTAACATGCTAACAAATGTATGTTAATAGCTTCAAAACCATCATTGTCAACATGCATAGAATCTTCTTCAGGTGATCTCCAGAGCCCGGAGGCACATTTCTCGTGGTACTGTTGTAAATTCTCAGAAGTGTTAGAATGTTTTTGAAGTACCCTGTATATATATATCAATGTACTGCCTAGAATATCACTGTTGTGCTGTGTAGCTCTCCACGGTATTTTCGGGTTGTGCCACATGCTGGTAGCGTCTTCAGAATTCAGTTCCTGAAGAAACTCTTAATTTAGTTCCTGAAGCTCCCAAAATATGGAGCAAAAACGTTGGACATCGTACCGAAAAACTCACACAGTACAACCGAAAAACACATCAGAGCGCTCAAAAAAGTGTCTTTGATTGCTATGTCACAAATCGTAGCAGTTAAATTGTGTTCAATGTATGTGCTCCTGGAAGGGGCAGCATTTGCTGAACGTAACAGCAGCGTGGCCCAACTGCTGTAACTCTTTTAATTTTGTTTTCCTGAATTTATGGAAACTCTTGCTCACAGGTGCATATCCAATCTGTACCAGCAACCGCTCTGGGGCAAGGGGGAGACGAGTGTAATCGCGCAAGAGATTCAGGAATTGAAGGCATGCACCACAGCTCCTAAGTATGGTGCCTTCTCACCGGAGGCCCTCTTGAAATTCCGGAATGCTATGGTTCACAAGAAGGAAGACAACCAATTCGTTTCTCTCACGGACCTCTGGGGCCTCGTGCTGCAGTGGATCTTTGGCAAACAGGTGCGTGGTGTGCCTGGGAGAATTGCACTGACCTATTCGTGGTCGTGACTGAGGATGGAGCTCTGAAATCATCTCTTTTGGAGGTGCTTGGTCAATTTGGTTACATCGCAGGACCGTGACAGATGGAGGGCTTTCGATTTAAAGCTTTTGTGACTGCAGGGATTCATCTTCTTGGTTCTTTCGGTAAAGTCACATAGAAGGGAAATAATAAACTAATAAAAATGAAACATAATAAAATAATTCTCACGACGTTTAGGCCACAACGCAAGCAGCCGTCCTCAGGTGAAGACCAGGTCTGTCGGGGAGACAGCGTCTGAATGACAAAAAAAATTGCATATCAAGAAGGAATTTAGCATATTTATGGAAAATGCAGGTGTGCGATTAGTACTACTCCTACGCATTTCACAAGTAGTACTAATCACATACCTGCATTTCCCATAAATATGCTAAATTCCTCTTGATATGCAAATTATTTTGTCAAGGCGCTCTCCCCTCTTCCAACCCAGCTTAAATATACGCTCCAAGCGTGGTCCTGTTTCATTCAGACGCTGTCTTCCCGACAGACCTGTTCTTCACCTGAGGACGGCTGCTTGCGTTGTCGCCGAAACGTCGTGAGAATTATTTTATTATGTTTTATTTTTATTATTTTTTAATTTCCCTTCTACGTGACTTTACCGAAAGAACCAAGAAGAAGATTGAGGACTGCTTGGCGGGGAGGATTTTTTTTATTATCTTTGATTTATCATGGCCGATGATGATTGTGGGTGGCAGGTGGTGCAGAGGTAACACTTGTACCTCACAACAAACGCTCTGGTTCGATTCCCAACTCGGGCACCTTTTTGTATGGAGTTTTTTCTCCTCTCGTTCTGCATGGGCTTTCTCTCGGTTTTCCAGTTTCCTCTCTTAGCTAATAAAAAAATCGTACAATCCAACTGGTGTTGGCTGAACACTGCGATGCTCAAAATTACCTGCAAAGTAGTCAATTAGGATTACACACAGCAACATCACCCCTACTGCAGAAGCTTGGCAGGACCCTCCTGAAAGAGTGTTGAGATTTAGTGAGGCTTTCCTGGGCAAACAATGCTATTATTTAATTTATTATTTTATCTTTAGACGTGACTTAACCGAAAGAACCATAGAATAATTCCTGCAGTCACGAAAGCTCCAAAATTAAGATCAAACAATAGTCATCATAAATACAATAATTTTAATAACTTTGTACGTGCGCTGCAGAAGGAAGCAGAAAGGTTGAATGAGAAATGTTAACGAGAAGTGTTGGCTGTGCCCTTTAGGAGAAACTGGTCAGGCTGTCAGATCAGCAGAAAGTGGTTAGCACTGGACAGGTGCCGTACCCAATCTACTCTGCAATCAATGTAAAGTCCACTGTCAGCACTGAAGATTTTGCAGGTAAAAGTACAAGCGTGCATAATAATATGCATCTTTCTTGAGACATTGCATTCTGTTTTTCTGGCTTATTTTACAAAAATTAATAAGCTGTGTTTCCGAAGCTTCTCTATGTCGTCTCTTTCACAAATCGGTTTTTAAATGTGCAATGTAACAATGAAATATAACACCGCAGGAGAAAAACGTACTTTGGTAATTTTGTCACAAAGGGGTAAATTGTTCATGTTCTGCTGTTTGTTAATGCGTCTAGTGTTTAAGTGGTGCAATCTTGTACTGTGTGCTCCTTCTGCAGAGTGGGTAGAGTTCACGCCACATGAGGTGGGGATGCCAAAATATGGTGCTTTTGTGCGCACGGCTGACTTTGGGAGTGAGTTCTACATGGGCAATTTGATGAGGCGCCATGCTGAACTACCACTGCATTACCTGCAAGGTAAGCCATGCGGAGATCATTGGATGATAGAGGGGGCGGTTGATTGTTTGCAACTGCAGAGGGGAAATAAAATAAAGATAAAAGATAAAGATCCCCGTATAGCCTTAACAGACTGTATGGGCAAGTGCTGTTAGCGAGCACCTATGAAGGCCGGAACAGTACACGAGGGGGTGGGTGGCCAGCACCACGCCCGACCGCCTTTGTCTCCCCAGTGGCGATATTTACACACCGAACCAGGTACTCATTTGAGGCCGAGTCGACCTAGGGAATGCCCAGGACCGGTTCAGATGATCATCACTGGTGTTGGCCATGAGCGGGAACCGAACCCGGGTCGCCTGGTTCATAGCGCAGCGTAGCGCTAATCACTACACCACCGCAGAGGGGAGAAGAGGCTACGAGACAGCTGGGTCACAAACAGCCAGACGAGTGCAGGGTTCCTCTCTAGCACGCTTTGTATTCCGTGGAATGATACATATGTAAGGACAGTACAGGGTGATATAGGGACAGTACGGCTCCCCGTGGCCATGGTTACTAATTAATGTAATGGGAACAGACAGGGAGGGTCACGTTAGGGTAATGTGGGGCCTCAGTGGTTGCTAATAATGATTGATGTGACAAGCACGGGGACCTAACGGTTGTAAATTGTAATAAGGGCAGAGACAGACAGGGCCAGGTGCGGTGAGAGAGGGTTCGGGGAATAGGGGCGTGGCCGGGTCGTGAGGGGGATAAGAGCTGGTGCGAACCGGGGCTCTGGGCTGTTGTTGTGGGGGAACTGCCGTCGCCCTCGTCACCTGGGAGCGGATCGTCTTCATCGTCCTGCAGTAGGCACCTTGTAGTCTTGGAAGGCTAGAGTTATGTTGTCTCAGAATAGTCACCTAAGTTGCCCAAGTGTATGTAGTTACTCGCGGTTACTCGTTAAGTTATCAGTGAGTCGGCTGACTTTTTATTCATAATACATATACATATAACTGAACAAGACGGTGTCTCTTAGAGTTACATTACACATAGATTAATTGATTCTTTTAACTCACTATCTGGTTCGAATCCCACGTGAAGAAATACATGTTTTTTTCAGATGTGTGCATGTTTTATGTGTCATGGATTTACAGGACTCCAGCCACTAGAGGCCACATACATGTACTACAATTCGTTTTTTTATCGAATCGTGGTCCTGCATCATGAAAATGCATTGATTCGCAAGGGGAGGGTGAACCAATGCACCCTACTTGGTATACTGTGGATTCGCAGTTGCCCTACATATTTCTGGCAATGTTTGGGTCTAGAATAAGCCCTTTGGGAATGGAAAATAAATGCTGTTTAATTAGGTGTTCCAGATATCTTGTGATCCCCATTTAATTTTTTAAAACTTTTTAAAGGTTTATTTAATTAATAGGCATAGGAAAAACATGTTAGGGGTCAATGAATTGGGGGTCACAAGTCATCTGGACCACGCTGTACCACTGTTTCAGCCCCCCTCCCCAATCTATGATTCTTCTCTTCTGCAGGGTTGTGGGGGAGTGCATTTGCAGCGAGTCTGGACCGCATTTACCTGGATGCAACTGGAAACGGCTTGAAATTGTTGAAATCTTTTAAAACTAAGATCAGTGCACTGGATGGTAAGAGCTTTGCTTTTTATCTGACAAGCCCAATTTTCACTGTGAATCCAATTATATGCATGAATAGGTATAATTTGCTAGAGGATTTATCAAGTTTTCTTAGAATGTTCTTGAACAAGTGTAACCAAACACCTGCTGATACTATGTGATCGTAGTGCCAATTAATTTAACGTTTCTAAACACTTAGTGGGAAGAATTTTTACATTCATTGTAAATTTTGTTTAAATTTGACTCATTGAAAATTTGCTCCGCTAAAATATGTTTTATTAATGATGAGAACAATTTTGTTACTTTGAGGAATCGTTTATTTCTTAATGTCCGAACTATTATACTTAATTTTATATAGTACGGAATTTTGAAAAATATCCTTTGTGAACACATTTTAGTTTCGTGTATATTTCAACTAAAACAATAAATGTCAAACAAAAATCTCACATTTTGACTACAAATGCATTTAACTGTCAATAAAGCTTCAAATGACTCCTGCGCTTTTCCAAATATATTTATATGAAAGCTGACTCCAGCACATTTCCTACTGGGATTTTAAAAATGTTATTAACGGATTATGCAGAATTTTTTTTACAAGAGGATATTCTCAGGTTTTTTTCCCAGAGAGAATTTAATCCCAATGGCATGACATCAAATCGTATCATTTGCAGATGAGTAAAACATGCTTAATTGTGTTATTATCTAAATCCCAACATTTCTAATTGGCATCATCTTAGTTGTGAAAATGTTATACTGTATTCTCTGGATTATAAGATGCTTCAGAAAGTAAGATGCACCCCAATCTTGTGCCCCATGCAAAAAAAGCGATACAAGTCTTGTCACACACACCTAGGTGGGGGGGGGGGGGAAGGGCATCTTATAAACTGAATACAGCAATTCCTTTCTTTCAACACGTACCAGTTGTCTCCCTCAATTACTATATTTCTCCTCCATCTCATGTTTACGAGTTAAACAAATGCGTACTCATGTAGCCTCTGCTTTTATCCTGCAGACAAGGCGCCTGGGCACCTTGCCACCAAAGTGGTGACGCCCGTGAGCTGGTTCTCAAGCACGCTCGGCAACATCTTCACCAAGCATCGTGCAGGACAGAACTTTAACTTCCTTTCTGGATGCTTCCTGAGTCGCAGCTACCTGACGTCCTCGCAATTTCTAACCAAGGATGGTGAGTAGAACTTGATGATTTTTTTTATATGTAATTTCCGATTTTTTTTTACCCTTAAATTGCTGTTTAGATGTTAACGCCGATTTTATATTTATTCACGTACTCATTGCGTTGAAACGCGTGCTGAAAAGTACATGTTGATTTACATTTTACCCAGATATAACATAACGAGCTTGGGTCTTGTGTGGTGTGCAGTGACGAACTTTGATAGCCAACCCAACCGACTTACTCCATTGGAGAATGATATCTTCCTTGTGGATGCTGGACTCAAAATGAACTCTGCCTTCCCACTCGTGATGCGACCCCAACGGAATGTGGATGTCATAATTTCCTTCGACTTCAGCTGGCAGAGCCCATTCACGGTAAACTTTAGCGGCATGGATGATAGAGGGCTGTGCTTATACCACCTGCACAGTTTGTAAAAGGTGGTAAAGGTGAGGTCCTGCTATGCAATTGCTTTCTCATGCCAATGCTGGAGAAAGGGCCTCCAATTCAGAGCTATATATTCCAAGACATCTAACCCACTGGTGAGAGGTCTTCCAAGAAATGGGAGTAGACACACTTTAACCCACCTCACCGGACCTACAGACCTTACCTGCAGTGTACCTATTTCTGTGCCTCTGTATAATCTTCAGTGGACAGAGGTAGGGAATTTTATACTGATAGGAACCCACTGTTTCCACCAGCCCACAGGGGATTATTGTGTCCGTCCGTCGTGCAGGGAGGGGCTGGGTGTGGAGGGGCTGGGTGGGGAGGGTGGGGCTTGGTGGGGAGGGGCTGGTCACCCCGTGGTGCCCTTATAAAACTCAACGTTTAACTTACTCACGCCGGCTTGTGCCCGCCCTCAGTCGGGCATATTTGCGGAATACACCACGCCGTCGTTGACCCTGGCCATTGACCGAGCAACCCAACGTTCCTACCAGCTCCCTCCGCAGGAATGTGTTTAACTCACCCTTTGTTTCAACTGCCACACCAGGAGAATGAACTGGCGACCTCAGGATTGTGTGTCCAGTGTGCTATACCACGGCAGCATCCTAGAGAAAATTAGCAATTACTATTGCATGAAAAACGATGCAGATGGAGTGCCTCTGTTCACCCAGTAGTATAAATGGGTACACCAAGTCAATTGGTAGTTAGTGTGCGGTGGGGTAAAGTGTGGCTTGTCTCAGATGTCTGGCCAGCTTTGAAGAAGTCCAAAAACACCCTCTAGGGGGGGTTCTCCAGAGCTCCTTCTAGTGGAAGCCCTTCTACCAGCAATGGCACGTACAAGAAATGTCAGTGCTTTAGCTTTCATTTTCTGTCCTTGCTACGCAGACCCTGAAGTTGACCAGTAAGTACTGCCAAGAGCACGGCATCCCATTCCCAAAGATCGATGTACCGTCGTGCAGTCTTAACGATCTGCACGAGTGCTACGTCTTCTCCGATGAGTCGGATCCACGGGCGCCCATTGTTCTGCACTTCCCGCTCATCAACAGCAGCTTCCGCAAATTCAAAGCTCCTGGTGAGATCCTGCATTGTGCAACATGCAACATTACACCTACACCACGATGCGCACTTCAGTTGAAAATGTCATAGCTGGGGGGTCTGTGCTTGAATGAGCTGTTGAGGCACGTGTTTAATGTACACAGTAATATGCACATCCCAATATATAACATTCAAGATTAAAGTTCAAGGGACGTCATTATGGCCAATGCCGTTGATGCCACGACACCTCGCCAACGTTTTATACCTTCTGCCAGATCTGGCAGCTGATGCATCGGAGACACGTGACATCCAAGATCTGCTATAACATTGTCCCACCATCTGGTCTTAAGTTTTCCCCTTGGTCACTAGATTCAATAACCGGCCCTCCTCTACCCTACACATGTCCTACCCAGCACAATCTGTTTTACCATTTCACAATTGTCATCTTTTGGCCTTCATTTAAAAAGGTTGTACAGCAAGGATGAGGTTGAAATGAATGGCTTGTATCCTTGAAAAGTAATTAGCCAAATTTTACATTTTCTTAATATCTAAAGGAATAATTGGTTCAGTGGTGTCGCTTATTTTCTATAATTGTGAAGGTGTATTTGTTTATATATGTCAGTACCTGGCATGAATGAAGACTGGTCATTATATGGCTAGCGAAGTAACAGATCTGTCGGTAAAACCGTAGAATTATATGCATATAATTCTAAATGTTTAAAAAATGTGAATCGCCAGTGGCATGTGTATACTTATTTGGTATGTGTACCTAATTGGTTATTTGCATGGCAGTGGTATTGACAGCATTTTTAAAGGATAAACTGAATCCTGATGTAAGTAATTTCCATCACTGGCCCTGGGCAATAAGCAGATGATTGGAAGTATTATGAACGTTTCAAAGGAACCACTAATATTAACGTAAAGTTCTGTGATATCAAAAGGGCACACATAGCATTACTATAGAATAAAAAAGTCTCAGAATTTCCCCACGGCAGTGATTTGAAATTGGCACAATTTGGGGTGGCAAATTCATTTCAATCATAAATGTTGCTTTTGTTTTCACTTTCATATCTCATTTGTTTTTGTCTGCTCCAAAAGCTTAAGTGTAACAGGTATATAATTCACATGTTATTTCATGAATTGTAAATAAGTGATTCTTGCATACACATTTCAATGTCCATATTGAGAGCATAAAAATCACTTTTAATGTGTCAATCGATGCATTAATGCCTATAAAGCAGTGATGGCCAACTCAGTGGGCCACATGAGTGGCCTTCCTTCACCTGTGGGGCCGCAAGCTTGAAATCGTGCTCGTCAGAGGTCGCAACCGGGTACCCGATACCCGTACCCTACCCGATACCCGGCTACCCGTACCCGGCCGGGTACAGGTACCCATTTGCGACCCTGGTGCGGCCGGGTACGGGTAGACCGTGAGTCACTGGTGAGTAACCGTTTGTCACTCATTTCCCAACGTCTTGTCTCTTCTCACAATTCAAGTTCCTAGAATCAACCCACCCACGCCTGCAACATGGCTTCATCCCAGAGGTCGCAATCAGGTACCCGATACCCGTACCCGGTCGGGTACGGGTAGGGTACGGGTACGGCCGGGTACGGGTACCCGTTTGCGACCCTGGTGCGGCTGGGTACGAAATCAAAACCCGTTTGCGACCTCTGGTGCTCGTGCACTAACCATGACCCCACGCATCACCCTAGAAACACGTAGAGCAGGTCACCACGAGGGACTCCATAGGCCGCAGATTTCACATCGTTGCTATAAAGCAATATAACAGGTGTTGGTAGAAGTTCTCAGCATCTGGTGCCACACGGAAGCACCCGTGACGTGTGCGTTTGTGCGCCCAGGCAATCCACGGGTGACTGAAGAGGAGCGCTCCTTTGGTGATTTCGACGTCTTCATGAGCAACTCACCCTACAGGACCTTCAACTTCACCTACTCGGAGCTAGAGTTCGACAGGCTGATCGCACTCAACCACTACAATGTTGTCAACAATCTGCCAGCAATACGGCAGGCACTGCAAAGTGCCCTTAAGCGCACTAAACGAAGGGTTTTTCCGGCCAATAGCAACATTTGACCAAAATTGATCCCAACAATCCCAGGAAGGCATGGATAATCTTACTGGTTTTATTCAAAGCACAATATTAAATAGTACCTTATCTTTAATATATGTCAAGATGTACGATATTTTATTCGGGTTATTTTATTTGATGTGTGTGTTGCAATTTGGGCTATGGGTTTTTTTTTATTGTGAGAAATGTGCATACAAGATGTATATAAAAATTCTCACTAAAAAGGCAATCTGAAAAAAATGTAAATGGTATGGAAGTCTGAAACACGATTTAAAAGCATCACAAACAATTTATCAGGTAAAATACAATCTTCAATGTGCATGATTGTATTTGTGAGGTTGAACATCCTAACAGCACACTCACCAATAAGCCAGTTTGCAGGCCATTATCAAATAAACAGTTTGTTGCAAAGTGAATATTAAAATACCCTGTAAAATTCCCAATGTAACCCAATGAGTTCAGTAAAAAAACTTGCATGTTTTACATTCTGCAATAAAAAAAATGTATATACACATAGAATGGCCATATATGGTTTACCAGAAAGATACGTCATAGAAAATTGATTTTCATAATAATCTGTCAATTGTGATGCTGTTCATTTATGCTATAAATATGCAGTGTGATCAGCCATGCTCATGAATCATTTTATAATTTTTCCTACCTCCACAACATTCTCAACCAATTATAATTACCCATGTTTTACATGTTCAAAATTGCTTTTTGACTTTTCCACACAAACAATATTCATGACCAAAAGATTGGATACACCAAAAAAGTGATTAAAATAACATAAAATAGCTGTAACCAGGCAGGGCTTCTGCCCAGAATGTCAAAGTAGAATCTAATTTCGTCCTGAGATATAATAAATGTCACTGCAGTTCGTTGAAAACACATGCGTCTGTTTGCCCAGGTTGCTTTACCCAATTCTACTCCTAAGGGTCACGTGGTGCAAAGGTGCTCAGAGCAATATGATCTGCAGGTTTTTGTTGATGAGGTCTGCAGCAGGTAGGTGGTTCTGATCCACCTGCTCAGCTTTGCTCTGAGCTGTAATGTACGATTATTTTTGTATTTTCAATGTTTTTAATAAAACACATTTTGCAATATTGCAAGTACTTTAAGATGCAAAAGTGTGTTTGTTTTGATGGCCGATTCGTTCAGCTTGGATATATTTCCAAGGACAAAACGATTCGAATTTTATCATAGAAAATTATAGATTTGTCACGATTGTAGGTTTATCACTTTTGGGGAAATAGTTTACAATTTTCATCGAGTAAAATGTATTTTCCATATCCATGCGTTTAAAAAAAATAATTAATGGTCATCACCGGTTAGAACACAATGAAGGTTAGAGTGGTCATTTTGAGGCAAACCTCCCCCCCCCCCCCCCCCCATAAATGATTGCATGATCAAGCAAAACAGGTTCATATTCAAATTTCCACTTCATGGAAATTGTTCTATTATAATAATTATCTAGGCGATAGTGATAATTGGAGAATTAAGTCATGGACCCCATCAACTCGATGCTTATCAAGTGCCTGCTGTAGTCAAAATGATGGAGTGAATCATCCCAACCTTCCATTGCCACGAATATATTTCTTTGGGCACGTCATGCTCCATTAGTTTATCCCTGAATGCAGTTGCCCCTGGGGCTCGCGTCACGCCTCCAGTAGGGAGGCTGACAACTGTTGGATTAATGCAGTCTGTGGGTCACTGCATTGGTGGCCACAAAGTGAAGACAGATCTGCATGTAAACTGCACCTGTGCATGCCAGGTTTTGCTGTCTTTTCTTACATTTAGCACTTCGTGTAAAATAATTGTCACGTCAATTATCCCATTAAGATGCTACTTACATTTCTATAGCGTCCGTAAATATCTCTCCCATGTATTATTACTACTAAGTGCAAACATTTTTTTCCCACATTAAGCATACTACGAGGTCCATTTTTGAAGATTTAAAGCCAACAAGTTCTGATTTTGTAGCTTCCAAAAAGTGTCATTGAATCATTGACTTTTGAACACCACAAAATTATGATTTCATTATGCAGTTTTTTTTGGTTTAATTACATTTTAAGATGTGTTTCAACTGCACTGAAATAATAAGTATCAAGTGAAACGCAAAGTGATGGGATAATTTACTCAATTAAAATGTATCGGTAAGCATGAGGCGATCACATTTTGACAACAGCATTGTACAATGGAATTAGAAGTAGTCGATAAGTACTGTGATTACCACATTCCATGTAAATTATATACACAAAAGAAATCTACACACTAGCTACACGGAACTTTAATAGATATTAAGCTTTGTATAGGGTGTAAATATTGAAGCATTATTTTCCATGAGGAACTGTACGGTTAGGTGGACTCCAGGGTGGAACTTCTTCTTGATAAAGAGAACGGCTCTTCCGCAGCCTCCGATCCAGCTTTTGCTGCGACTCTTTTTTGTCCTATAATGGAATGAAACATGATCATGTTTTCATATCAACAAACCACTGTAAAGACACTTCCACAGCCTTAAAAACAAACACGTATTGATTATTGTTGACACTTCTCGTTGGTCTTAATATGTTGGACGCTTCGAGCAGTGGCCATGCAGCGAGTTTCCATTTTCAGTTTCACTCCCCAACTGGACTTTTTTTTATAGCAAGGCTTACACTCTGGGTGTTCTTGGTTTTAATAGGCTTAAGGAACCCCTCCCGTGCATTGCTCTTGAGGTATAAAACCTTTCGCTCCTTTTGAAGTAAAAGAGCACAGTACTGCGTATGCCAAACATATAATCGGGGTGGCTCCCAGGTGTAGAATACTTTCACATATTTTGTATTTACATATTCACAAAAATTGTACATTATACAAGGTTACTCACCATCCAGTGTTCATATTCATCCTGGGCTTGCCTCTCTTTGCATTCTTTAATGGCCCTCTCCTCCGCATCCCTTTTCTTTGCTTGTTTTAACTCTTTTTTCTTATCTTTCAATTCTTTGTCTTTTTGCTTCTTCCTTGAATAGGCAGCATATTAAAACCACTGAGTCTCACAACACACCTAAGTACGTTAATTTGTTATATGTTTAAACAGTTCAACATAAATCAAATTGTCTCATGCATGTAACAAAGGAGAATTATTACGACGGTGATAAAAACGGCACTTAGGATGGTTATGTTTACGTACATTAATTGAGTGTAACTTTTTACATAGCGTTGTGTATTTAAACCATTTGTTAAATATAACAAATAGGTAAAGACATAACTCCACTCAGCTTTCAAATTAATGTATTTCTGGTATTCATGTGGCTGAAAATAAGCAATCTACATGTTAATCAGCTGCAACATGCCAACATTCATATTATGTAAATGTTCAAAGCATGTGGTAAAACAATCATTTCTGGCACTTGTAAGCTGACGGTGATCTGACCAGTGTCTGCAGTGACTGTTCCTTTACATATTACTCAATGCAGAACACACATAAAACGACTCCCACACGGCCACTTTTAAAGCATGTTAAGTTAATATAAAGGCAAGAAATGTAAGATGTGATTGCTATTACATGTGACGTAAATCAAAATTGTATCATGGTGGCACATTACATCTATAACTCAAACTACATTATTACAATACTGGTGTTACCATGTCAATTTACATTTAAATACACCTAGCTCAATGTCATTCATGTCCGAGTCTCTAAGAGCATTTGTGAAGTTTTGTTCTCGTACGGCAACTGTTGCCATGCACCTAAACACTATAGAACACAAGGCATGTCATAAAAAATACTTCTGACTTATTGTACCAACCATATGATATTGGGGTCCCAGTATCACATATGCGCACATAATCCCCTTGCTGGTTGACATTACATTAGATGTCTTGTACCCAATGCCCATCTAACGCAATGCATCAGTAGAGGTCAAAATACTTTATTCATTGCATATCAGTCCTGCGTGCAATCCCGCTAGATTGTTGGGAGTTGGGAGATTCAAGAAAGAGTGGATTCCACTATGTGAGTGGTCACAAAAAGTAACTGAATGGCTTCTCGAGACTTAAAAGATGCATATAGTCATGTCCTGATATGGCAGGAGCACAAGAGGTTCCTAATACAGGTAGTCCCCGAGTTACGATGGTCCGACTTACGATATTTCGATCTTACGATGGTGATACGACAAAATTGCCATCAACAACCTAACATCGTTCAAGTATGCAGACGACGGACAGAATCTTGGTGAGTACAGTACAATATGATACGTTACGATACGTTCAATGCATGTATGATACGTAGCTTTGGCGATTTCATTTTAAGGTTACCACGATACGATACGTTCAATGCATGTTAAACGTTTTTCTAGCAGATAGGATTGTTTCCTGAAAAAAACTTTCTATTAAATTGCAGTTCATATAGGTAGGCTAAGAATTTACATTTTATCGTGCAATACAGTATTGTAATTAATAAATACATACAGTATATAGTTTATACAGTACGGTATTGTAAATTGCTCTGTTTTGCGAAATTATCACCATTCTTTAAGACTCCTGGGTAGGCTAGGCCATCTTCGACTTACGATATTTTCGACTTACGATGGGGTCGTCGTAACGCATCTCCATCGTAAGTAGAGGCCTACCTGTATATGTTGTGGAAGGCTGGTGGCTACAGTGTAGACAGAGCAATGGATACAACACGGGACGTCTACAGTGGTGCTTCTGAGGCAGTGGGACACTACACAGAGCCCCAAGAGATGGTGCAAATATCCAGGAACGTGGGAGATGATCTGACATGATGACCTGAGAGCAACCTAGGTCTTCTGGGTCACTTTAATCCCAAGCACCATGCTGGCTCCAAGTTGGGAGGGATTTTTAACTTGATATGCAAATTCCTTTGTCAATGCGCCCAGCTTATATATATATATATGCTCCAAGCTCGTGTGCTGTTTCATTCATACTCTGTCGCCTCGACGGACCTGGTTTTCACCTGAGGACGGCTGCTTGCGTTGTGGCCGAAACGTCGTGAGAATAATTTTATTATGTTTTATTTTTATTATTTTATTACTTCCCTTCTACGTGGCTTTACCGAAAGAACCAAGAAGATGAATCCCTGCAGTCACGAAAGCTTTAAATCAAAATTTAAGGGATTTTTAAGTTAAAGTTATTGATTGTCCATGCTGAGTTTTACTTAAATTAATTTACTGATGTAGGCCGGCATGTGGGCCATGTTATTCATGTACCTGGGGCCCCAGTGTGATATAGCTGGTAGAATGTGTCATAAGCTTTAGGTTTTTATACTTCTGACGCTTTGCTGGGCACTAAATGGTGCTGAAAAGGTGAAGGGACCTGGCGATGTCTGCCAGGTTGAGGTAAGAACATAGTTTTCATCATATGTAATGTGCACTCATTGCCTACATGTCAGAAGGACTTACCATGTCTCGTATAACTTCTCTGCTTCCTCCTTTTTTTGGTCCATTTTCTCTTTTTCCTTGTGTTGCTTTTCTCGCTCAACTGATTTCTCTTTGAGACATTCTTTCAAAATATGCTTGTCTTTATCTTCTTTCCACCTCTCAAAGGCCTGTGTAGGTCAGTATGTGGAAAAAAGAAAAATTAGCAACACATAAAAAGAGATTTATAACCATGAAACCACTGAAATAGACAACTAACCTTAACATTTTGTCACTTAATTCTTACGGTCAGCTATAATCAACACTTGAAAAGATAATGACAATTAGATTGCAAAAGTTATGATGACAGTTTTCATTACAGGAAGGCAAAATTAACTTTGCACTATAAATTCAATCGGTAATTATGTTGCTGTCTATTTAATAACGTTGACGTGAGTAATCATATTTTGGTCTCACTGCCTTTTTTGCATCTTCGTTGTGTTCTTCCTTTGCTTTATCGGCCTTCTGTTTCTCTCTGTCTTCTTCGATTTTTTTCTTCTGCTGTTCCGCAATGGACTTTTTCTTCTGCTTGCTCCAGGCCTGGAAAGTGCTCTCCACTTCCATCTTCTTGTCTTCCTTTTCTTTCTGTAAAATTAAATTCAGACCCTTTTAAAATGTTGTTTGTTTTGTGTAACCAATGCATATTTGAATGTGTTTTATTCATTTCCCAAGTGACTGTATTCCTTATGTATTATTTGTGTTGGTTGTGACAGAGAATGTTTTGACTGACAGAATGTAAACATAGGCTATGGACTTTTATGTACATGATAGAAGTGACATTTCCCTTTCAAACTATTTGTAATAAGGATGTATGCTTTATGGTATTTTTCACTGCGTAAATATAAAGTCTACAGAAGGGAAGATTGACCTATTTGACATTGTAAAGTGTTAGTTTTTATTTTTGATTAACGTTTAATCAGTGCTATGAGTTTAAGAGCAACCACTAACAATACAAATAATGATTATCAATTCACTTGTTGTTGTGATTAGTGATAAGCCTCACCTGCTCTTTTATCTCTTTTTCCCTTTTTAATCGTTCTTCAATTTCTTTTTGCTCCTTTATTGATGCAGTCTTTCTCTTTAACCACTCCTAATGCAAAAAAAACAAATAGAACATGCTTCCTTAAGTCATGATTGACAATTCAGATATAAATCTATTCTCATGGTCACATTCTTAAAACGATCATAAATCAATGAGATACTCTACACAGTAGATTGAATACACTTTTGCCATTGTTAGAATGGTAAAAAGACATCATATAGAGCTATGATGGCACAACCTAGAAGATCTATATAGGTGTATTTGCATTTTAGCTCAGTACGTACCTGATAGATAGATGCACGGATGGTATCGGGACATTCAGGGCTCAAACTGACATTCAGCTGCGACCTGGAATCAAGCACCTTGAGCGTGCCCAAGTAACGCGACTTTGCAGAGATTGGTCGAGGGCTTCGTCCTCTCTGGGACTTCACGTACGTGCGATTCAGAGAACTTGCCGTTTGGCTGCACACACACGGACATGCGTGCACAAATAAATACTTGCGCATTACACCGTTTAATTCTGCAACAGGAATAACACGTATAGTGCAGGGATGCTGCTGTGGTGTAATGGTTATCAAATCTGGACATGCAATTTAGAGGTCCATACTCTTTGGTTTTTTCGGTAAAGTCACGTAGGTTAAAAGAAAAAATTACAGTAATTTTGCTGTGACGGTTTCACCTGAAGACGGAAGCTTGTGTTGCCTCCGAAACGTCGTGATTTAATTTATTTGTTTTCTTTTAACCTACGTGACTTTACATAAAAAACCAAAGAGTATGGATCCTTGCAGTCACGAAAACTGCAAATCTAGATATTTCGAGGTCGCACATTCGATCTCCTGGAAACAATGAGAAAGTTTTTTTCAAATGCACCCCCTGCTCCCATCTACCCAGCAGTATAGATGGTTACGCTACGGTTAGTTTATCAGCTGGTCGCATATGGTGGGGTGAAGTGTGTGTGTATACCCACCACTTGCAAAACGTCTCGCCAGCGTGGAAGAGGAGACCAGAATACCCCTCGAGATAGGTTACCTCGAGTTCCCTGAGAGGCCCTTCCGCAAGCGGTATGATCAAGTAATTTCAGGGCTGCACCTTTACTTATTTAAACTGCACATTGAGCGATTGCGAATTTATGAAGATTGTTTGCTTCAACAAACATGTTCAGTTATTTTTGTTTTAAGTTTTAATGTTAATGGTGAATATTTTCAGCTTCCTTCTATACCACTGTTGCTGCAGTGTGGATTTATTTTTGAACAACACATTTTCAAACTGTTTTGGAGTCCTATTATAATGTACATATAATTGTACCATATTCTTGTGTTATCTAATTGGACTATGAACATAGATGGGCAGGCCAGGTGAAAATTCTCTTGGAAAGGTGAAGCATATTTTGTACCTTGTATGTGACAAGTTTTCAAACTGGTCATCAATCGTCTCTGAGTGCATTCCACCTCCAGTGCCCTGCAAGAAGACATGAGGGCAGCAAGGTGAATAATTGCGATAGGGTGATGTTCTGATGCTAAGAATGACATAATATAATGGAGGTGATGATTACATAACCCTCAACAGCAATACAAATGTAAATGGTACTCCAACTATACCTTCTTACAATGTATATAGAAGTTGGCGCTTCAATAACTATCAAAAAGTATTTGATTTCCTTCTTATATGAGGTGTGGTGCTCATCTCCAGTTTACAACCCTAATTCGTGAAATTTGCACACCAGTTGGGCTGAGAGATGGCCATGAGACATCAATACATAGCTGGGTTCGTGAACCCAATTGTAAGAAGCTATGTGTACTGTCCCATCATATGCGTGGTGGGTTTTCTACGTGTACTCCAGCCTGCTCTCACATGAAAGCAAAACACGAATACATAAAGGAATTCGCCAGCAATGTGAATGGAGGATCCTCCTGAACAACAATCTGGACTTGGAAGTGCTTTATGGAAATCCCTTTTCAGTTATTAAACAAATTAGCTTAATGTACCTTTTTGTTGTTATCACAGTCTGCAATTATTGCAAAATGTATTCATATGCAATACATTTAAATATGACCACAACTGATTGAGATTGGCTCAAAGGACTTATCCTGAATGGACCTACTGAAATGTGGATTGATTGGAAAAGGTTCAGAATGGGATTATTTATCAAATAAGTAATCATGGCCAATTAGACCAAAACCATGAATCCCGAGTACATGCTATGTCAACATGGCAAGAATTTGGCAATGTGCTTGAATAGGATAAGATAATTTCACTCATTAAAAATGTATTGACAATTATATTTTGCATTAAAACCATTATCCTCCACTCATATAAGTAGTGCGCACGCGCACACGCAAAGCTATTTATGGGCAGCATTATTATCTGTATGATAAAATGTGTGCTCAACAAATCTAACATCTGAAACACAACAATGTTCACAAACTCCAGAATTATTACACATACTGGAGTGAGATGTTCGTTTTTTTCTCTCCACAATTATTCGGAAAAGAAGTGTTAATGCACTTTTCTATATGTAGCTGCCTTTTAGTAAGAACCACGTAAAATAAAAGTGCGTGTGCTTTCAGGACATGTATGGGATATCAATGCCTGTCAGTTAAATGGGCTACATCTGTTGAGTGCTAAGTTTTTGATGCAGTATTTATTATCCAGAAATTTACAAGTAATGTAGTAGCATATACGGGTCATCTAGCAGTAATGGCTTACAATTGGTATAAAATAAAGTTTGCAATGTCGAACACAAATTTGTTCTCAATCCAGCTCAGTCGTTTGAAAAACTACTCCTCCTCACAAAGAGTTGCAATTCCACTTGAAATTATTTTCTACCTAAATGGCAGATGACAGCATGTTCCTCGACGCCTTGTCTGCACGTACCTTTCCGCCACTGTAGTTCTCTTGTGAGATTTCAGCCAGTGTGTTGTCAAAAAGCTGACCTTCTGTTGACTGTGGGTCAATTGTAGAGTTTTTCGCAGTGGACCGGTGTGATTCTGGCTTGTAAGGGGTTTGGACGTATTTCACGGGCTCCTCTGGAATGAATGTGACCAGAGACTCTGATGAGGCTCGTTTGCCCATTGACTGAGGTCCGTCAGTAAGTGTCTTCGAGTCCCTGCCTGACAATCAGAATTTTTTTTCAGCATTTTATCATTCCATTGTTAGATGCAAGCTTCCTCATGCTGTGCTGGTAATGGCATGGGGAGGCCTTCATCCAGCAAAGGACTGACAAAGGGCAATACATTACCATATTTACCAGCACATTAAACTACTTTAAAAGATATAGGAATTTAAGGATTCACCCCCTCCCGGTTTGATTAATTGTCACAGTCTGGGGTCACAATGTGATTCAAATACATTTAATCTTACGACTTTGCATTTAGTGGATGCAAAGGTCACGTGAATCAATAACATATAGCATGTACGAATTGAATGTAATCACACAATTCTCTGCATTGTGAACATAATCAATTTTACTCAATGAATGTATTATTACTGAAATGCTGTATTAAAGTGAAGCACTAATTGCAGCAAATAATTTTTAATAACAGGATGCTACAAGATTTATAATACAATTTTAGTCATACCTTAAAGCCAATGGCAAGAGAAAGAACAAATATGTTGAAACCAAATCATACAAAAATGGTTTGATGTCCTAAAAGTGGTTCTATTTGATTCACATTAATTTTAAGTTAAAAGAAAATCTTGAATCGAAATACATTTACAATGTTTTTTTTTTCAAAGGGACTTTTTATATACTTTAAAATAACAAAAACTTACAAACCAAGTGAACTCTTGTACATGTTATAATGTACTGATTTTAAGTACATTCGAAAATCTTGTGCAATTCAGACAAGACTTATAATGGAGCAAATTTAAATAATTACAAGACTCGCTGATAGGTTACGTCACATTTGAGATACATATTTTATTTCAACCAACTTATTCAAAAATAAATATTAAGGAATAATCAAACCCTTTCAATCGAACATTGACAAGAAAAAGTATAGATACAACGATAACAAAAAATGGACAGAATGAAATTGGTTCTTTGAATGGAATTTTTTTTTTTTCAGAAATTATTGTACCAGATGGTAATGCTCCATTGTCGGTTGGGTTGGGGTCAGGAGAAGGTGGTCGAAGTGAAATATCCCCGGAGATTTCTCGTCGCATTTCCTGCAAGGTAAATACCATCATCAGTTCGCTTTGTCTAAATGTGTGTAGATTGCTACAGCAGATATAATACCAGGCAAAACCAGGCTTTTACACTTTACATATGCAGCAACACCATTCACTCAAATGACAACATCGTATTATATTACAGTCAGATCTCATGAGTAGCAATGTGTGAAACAAATACAAATCCTGGGATCCAAATTTGACATTTAAAATCGAAATACTCACCATACAGATCAATGAAGAAAACAGCTTATTTTGAAAATAAAATTCTCCACAGAAATGCTTTTGAAGATGTCAAGATAATACCAAATTTATGAGTACTTCTATATATATCGTGTTTCATACTATCAAATTATTTTCCTTCAGGCAACAGATATACTTGGCAAAAACAGGAAATAATATATGTAATCGTTGACAGGGAGCACACGGACCTGGCATGTGCGACCGTCTTCTACAATTTTCAACCACCGTTCTGACAGCATGTCATTGTGGCTGATCTAGTGTCTCTGGGAAATGATGAAATTGTGGCCGCTCAGTGCTCATTTTCATACAGTGATGGAATGCTCATGCAAAAATAAGGCTTGGTGCAAATGGTAAAATTATATAAAATGCAAAATATTTGCAAAAAATGTATAATACATGAGATACTACTCATACCACTGTTTACTTCTTTTGAAACAAGAGTAGAGCTAGGATGTATAATAATGAAGATAATTACATATTTCAACATAACTGTTGCCTGTCCCGTCACAAACTAAACTGATGTGATCAGGTGGAAATTTGAGAACACAAGTATAAACAAAAGCTCTAAACATTTTAATATATTAATTTTTAAACGATCCATCTTAAGATTTACCTATATTACTACATCTTCACGGTTGAAATCTCGGTTGAAATTGTCTCTAAGCTGAGCAATCATTGGAAGGATGCTATTAACCAAGCAAAGTCGTAACTTGCTGTGGTGCTTCCATTCTTCCCTGCCGTTTGGCTGTTATCTCCGACTCTCTGAGTTGCATTGCCGTTAGGTGCCTCTGCATGAACGGGCTAGGGTCTCACTAACATGGCCACCTCTGCTCCCTTAGCCTCGATGTATCGATGGTTCTGGCTGTGTGATGGGTTTTGTGTCTCACTGGTGCGACCACCATTGCAGTGATTCTCTTGCGTGGGCGCGTGTGCCTCTCACAGCGCAGTTGCACCGCAGCTCGTCTTATACATAGACATGACATTAACCTGCTTAATCCCCCTAATCTTGTGTTGCGATCGAAACGTCGTGATATTTGTATTTTATTTTATTGAAAAAGTTAAACAAATAAATAGTTAGACGCAGCAACAAAGGGTTTTTGGTGTCTTTTCAGCACTTGAAACAAAAGGTAAGTCAAATTCTAGATTTGAAGCTTTCGTGACTGCAAGGATTCATACTCTTAGGTTTTTTCGGTGAAGTCACGTAGGTAAAAAATAAAAATAATAATAGAAATAAAATAATAATAAATGAAAATAAATCAATTAAATCACGACGTTTCGGAGGCAACACAAGTCTCCGTCTTCAGGTGGGACCGTCACAGCTAAATTTACTGTATCAAGTGTGTAGAATTAGTTCATTTTTGTCCATGTGCCCAGAAAATTCGACTTCAAACTGGGACTTGAAATCCACCATAGACCCAATGGGGAAAATAGATTAATAAAAGCAATGTATATATTTTGTGAAGTTAATTAACTTTATTAAGATTATTAACAATGTAAGTTCATGTAAATGAAAGGATCATAGAAAAAATACTGGGGAAGCTGGTGGATATTGGCGAGTCTGTTTGTATTCAGACGGGGAAAGTCAACAATGGATGCAATCTTTGTGTAGTGGCATAGCGGTGGCTGCTGGCAGAAAAGGGCGTACGGCAGTCCTCACGTCAGCAGGCCAGGATATACACGAGAGGCTGATCTAGGGGAGAGTTCACAGAAGGGGCCCTCCAGGAACCCGCTAGTAGATTCCGGAAAGGGGGCGTGGCCGGGGCGGAGCGAGGCCACGCTGACAGTATAAGAGGGGCCCCTGTGGGGGACCTCGAGGCTGTTGTTGGAGTGGGATTCCTGTCGTGCTATTGAAGTCCATCGTCGCCATTCTTCTCGTCGTCTTCACCATTCTTCTCGTCGTCGTCTCCGTCTCTACCATCTCGGTGCGCCGCTAGTCAGACAGCCTACCAACTCTCCTGGCCGAGTAGAGTCGCCGACAAATATACGGACTAAAATATTAAGTGTGTTAATCCCGATGGTACTCGTTAATAAAGACGTGCCTCCAAGTCTTAGTCTCCGAGTTAGTCACTGCATTTGCACTGAGAGTATTGATGGAGAAGTTCAGAGAGAGGAAACGGGACCTGCATGTGGTGTTTATTGATCTAGAGAAAGCGTACGATAGAGTGCCGAGAGAGCTCATCTGGTGTTGTATGAGAATAGGTAATCCTGAGGTATATGTCCAGCTGATTCAGCATATGTATGAAGGAGGGAAAATGCATGTGCAAAGCAGCTGTGGGGTGTTGGAGAGCTTTCAAGTCAAAGTGGGAGTGAGGCAAGGCTCCACCCTGAGTCCCTTCCTGTTCATCCTGGTGCTGGACACACTAACAAGAGATATTCAGAGGGAGCCCCCCTGGTGTATGCTGTTTGCAGATGACATTGTACAATGTGGTGAAAACAGAGGGGTAGTGGAAGATGATTTGAAGATATGGGTGCAAAGATTGAAGGGAATGGGTTGAGAATGAGTCGGACAAAGATGGAGTACATGTTGGCAAATTTCAGTGGAAAAAATGCAGGATTGCAAATTGGAAGTGTCCAGTTAATGAAGACAAACGAGCATAAGTTCCTCGGTGTAACGATGTGTGCTCATGGATCACTCGAAGGAGAGATGAAAACAAGGGCTGCATGGCTGAAATGGCGATAGATGACTAGTGTGGTGTGCGATAAGAGGGTCCCAGTTTGGTTGAAGGGAAAATTGCATAGGACAGTGGTGAGGCCGGTGCTGTTGTATGAGGCCGAGTGCTGGGGCACAAGAAAGAGGGAGGACCAAGCTATGGCAGTTACAGAGGTGAGGATGTTGCGGTGGATGTTTGGGGTTTAACAAGGAAGGACAAGGGATGAGAAATGAAGAAGTGAGAAATGAAGAAGTGAGAGGAAAACTTAAGGTGGTGGAATTCACAGAGAAGATGAGAAAGAAAAGGCTGCAGGTGTGGTTCGGTCATGTTCAGAGACAAACAGGAAAATTACGTGGGTCAGAAGGTGCAAGTGATGCAAGTGGAAGGAAAGAGATCAAGAGGAAGGCAGAAGAAGAGGTGGGGTGCAGGACAGGGCAGCATGGAGAAGGTTGGCAAGGACAGCGGACCCCCACGTGAGTTGGACAAACGCGTGGAAGAAGTTTATATAAATGAAGTAAATATTTCCAAAATGAAAATACATATAATAGCATGGGTATTATATTACAAACAGGTATAATGGTACTTTATAAGTGCGTTATTTGCATATTCTTACTTTATTAGGAATATATTTCATAATTACTGCTCTAATATACATAATAGTATGTAATGGAGTGTGTAAGTGGTTGACTTATCACTTGATAGGAGTGTTTATTACAAACGTTACAAGGTATGAACTTCACAAATATATGGGCACATTCTACATTTCAAGGGTAGCAAGTCCGACCTTTGTTACGTCAAATTTCGTTATTTTTTACGTGAACATCAGATTTTGTAGCTAGATTCATTCAATGTTAACCTAGATTTATGACCCATGTTACAAACACATGGACAGATAGATGGACAGAGGAAATCTATTAATGCTTTTAGCCTTAGCCAGAAAGCTTAAACAAATGTTTGGTGAATAAACTACAGGAACTTCTGCTTAAGGGCTTACCTGCCGAGCAGAATGGCGCAATGCTGGAGTCGGTGCAGGTGTTTCTGATGGAGACAATGATCGGCGTTGTGTCGAGGCAGACACCCTACACTCGTAAAGAAAAATAAATATTTTCCTACTCCTTGTGTTTGATAACTGTAATTACGTGAAATAATTTCATCTTAAACAATTCGGGTAATATAAAAATTTCCATCAAATAACAAGCATGTATGTTTCAAATATATAGAGTCTTTAACGCAGGGTTTGCATTGGATTTTGCTCAAAGGAGGTGAATATACACATGCGAATCATGGGAAAAGGTTTGACACTTGAAGTAAACAAGATCCTTTAAGGTACATATCTTACAGACTATGATTTCTTAATTAAAGGACACTACATGTGCAATGCAATTATGACCTTGAGGTTGATGACAGAGTCCGAGCTGGCGAAGGAGAACGGCTACTTTTGGTCATTTCTGAAGAGAAGTCATCCGAATACCCTTCCGCTGAGCTCCGACCTGTGGCTGCCCTGTTACGTGGCATAGGTACTGGCGTTGATCTGCCTTCCTCATTGCCTGTAGTATAAATACACAAGCGTGGAAATAAATTAGTCACATCCAGTCGAACATGATCACGTGCTGTAGAGGTAAGAGTGTGGATGCTCCCACCTCTTTTGAGATGTCTGGCAAGTGTGGAAGAGGACTGTCGTTCAAAATAGAGTGGCGCTCTCGTGCTCCATCTTATGGAGGCCCTTTCCCCAGCTGTGGCGTGAGCAAGTATTTGCAGGGCTGCACCTTTACCATCTTTACCAAGATTAATATATTTAATTACTCTTTACATTTTTTGTACATTGCAGCAATTCCCACATGAAGGTTATGTTTTAAAAATGTAATTTTGTGATGTTTATGTCATCATCTTATAAACACATTGATTTCTACTGTTCGTAGTGGTTACCCATTGTTAACAAAAGTGTGTTTATTTCTTTTCTGCCTTTTAAAACTATAGGGCTCCAAGCCTATGCTTCTGTTTTATCAACAAATTGTATTCACCATCATGTACTCTAAATGATGCTTTATAAAATATGCAAGTTAAAAGCCAATGTCTGCCTGTGCAGCAATATGGTAGCACTCATCTCTTTTGGCACCACTTAGCCAGTGGTGTAAATTCCAGGGTTGGGATCCAGTTTCTCTATATGACGATGTGCATAAATATGACAAATATTTTTAATATGCACCAGTTTAAGCAACAATTCAGAGAAAATATAAAGTGTAATTAAAATGTTTCACATTGGAATACTTATTTACAACAATAAAGTGTTGAAATTGGACTACGATTGAGCAGCAGCGTCTAATACAATTTATTTTCTTCATTTTCACCATCCTCTTCCCAACTCCCTACCCATTCATCATACTCACTCATCGTTAACCACTCATTTTCACTTTCATCATCGTTTATTTCGCGCATTATCATATTCATGTACTCCCATCCTCATCAACTCATCTCATCACACTGTTTTGCTGTACCATTGCTGATTCTCTGTTCAGTGTCTTGGTTAAGGCGCTATATAAATTAAATTAAGACAAGGTGGCCCGTTACTATAAAGCAATCATCTAGTTTGCAAATGAATGTCGGAAACTCAATCTAAGCTCAGCTGTATGCATGTTAATTTACCCTGGCCAAGATGTGGTTAAGAATGTACAATTCCACATCTATAACACTATTCTATCAATGAAACACTTACATTTATGAAGATCACATACATGTTTGAATGAATTAATTTAAGTATGCCTATTTTGTATGTACATTGCATTGTGCTATGAATCTTGACAGCCTTGAGTTTGATTTCTGACTATGGCTAACACCAATGGTGAGTGCTGATCCCCTCCCCAGTATGCCCTTCACCAACCCACACTGACCAGCTATATGGATGCATTTTAGAAGTGAAACACAACATTATTTTCAAAATAGTGGTGTGTGGCAGCATCACATTATTTTAATGTCGCAGATATGTTCCTTCAGGGACCAGTTGCCTCAAAACACAAATTAATGTTTGGTATCTGCTGTAAATGCCGAACCTTATCGTCTATATTTCGAGGGCCAAATGCACCTCTGATTATTACGGTTGTCTATGTACGGTGTGACAGAACATCAAACGACATGCAATTGCAGAAATAATGATGAGCACATTTTATGGACTTGCAGCACTTTTTCAACAATCATGTAAACTCCATTGGATGGATAGAACCTCAAGCCCCCATCCCCCACTTCTGCCCTTCCCTCTCCATTGGTCGTTCATGTGTGGTACGGTGGACAGCCGTCAGCCCCCACCTCCAGCCCTCTCAACTGCCCCGGTCACACATGCTGAGTTGGGTGAACAGGCACACAAACATGGAGATACAGAGAGATACAGAGAGTCACATAGACAGACACGTACAGAGATATGGAGACACATGCAGCGACACACAAACACACGCAGACACAAATACACTCAGACAAGACAAACGAAGACACACAGAAATGGCAATACACAGAGACATGAAGACACACACTGACAAGGATACATTTACACAAACATGCAGTTGGGCGAATTCCTGTCAAAGATTTTGGCAGTGCCACTTAATTTGATTGTTCTTGATAATATAAGGGGTTGTGAATGCTAAACTACAATGCATTCCCACCCACCCACCTGGGCTTACAGTGTTTTTGGGGGTCCTAGTAATTACAGAAAAGAACCACAAATTTATCACAAAGTACCACAAACTCCCACAAATATATTCCAAAGTAACACACAAGCCTCCCCCCAATCCACAGCCCCTTCCCAGCCATCCTTCCTCCTTCGCACAACCTTCTCGAGCCCCGGCCTGTGGATTAGGACGAGCAGGGATGAGGGGTCTTTGTGGTACTTTGCAGCAAATCTGTGATCGCCTGTAGTACGATGTGGGAATTAGTAGGACCGATTTCTTGATTTGGTGTACCACAAAGTTCAAGCAATCTTGAACATGTGCCGTAGAATTAAAACGATTGAAGAGCACTGCCTTAAAGCACCATCTCTAGGTGCTGAAATGCAATCCACTAAACGTAAGCTTCCAACAAAAACTGCAATCGCCTGAGGTTTTACATGTGACAAATTGATTTCCTGTGTTCACAAATAAATCTTGCTTTCCTTGGCAGGTTCTAATAGATTCAGCTTTAATCTCTTTAAAAGCCCAACATATAGCCTGGGCAGTACACATGCTGTTAGTTCCCTTATTCACAAAATTGTCAACCATACCTTTCATATACAGCCCCAAGTATACTTTTAGGGCAACGTTTCATCTTGGGGATTTTTGTTGCATGCAGATAAAATAACTTTAATAAAAACAAAAAAAAGCCAGTAAACAATCCAAAGACTAATGAATGGTATGCACAAAACACATTGTCTAAACAACCTTTGTTATGCCAAAAGGCAACAAAGCTTAATTACTGAAATACCAGTGACAACTGTCTGCCTATATTGATTGTAGAGGAGGGATTGGTCATTGTAGACAATCAATCCTTATAACTCATGTCTGATGGAATCATGCTTCGTTGTGACTCTTATTCCTCTCTAAACAAAACGCATGTTTAGAAAAAAAAGTTTTGAAATGTCACATGAGAGATAAAATGCTGTTTAAAGGTGTCTGCATGAGCTTGCTTTTTTAAAATGTAAATCAATATAATGAAATCTTGACTTAAACCTTTCGTGACTGCAGGAATTAATATTCTTTGGATCTTTCGGGAAAGTCACGTAGACCGCTTGTGTTGCGATCGAAACGTCATAGTTTCTGTTTTTTTGTAATTTTCTTTGAACCTATCTACATGACTTTACCGAAAGATCCAAAGAATATAATATAATGAAAGTTTAAGTTTTCTGAATCAGCAAGAATCAGTCTTAAATCTTAAGCTGAAGAACAGTTCCAAAGGGGATGTTTGGAAAATGAATATTTTGAATAGCCAATGGACAGACTTTCTACAAATATGTCTGCAGTGTACATTCGGCCAGATTGATACTTTGACAAAATGGTTGGACAAAATGTGTTGTCGATTTGCCAAATGTTAGCATGACAGTCACAAACCATGCAAATTATCGTCTAACAAACTGCCCACGTGTACTGGTCTAAATTAAAATATGAAGATGACCAAATAATTCGTAAAACAAAATTGTTATACAAAAATACAACCACAAAGGTAATTTAACATTCGAGTATTTCAGTCACAGCACAGGCATTTGAAAACAGCTCTCACCTGTTAAAGAAGGAGAGGTTGCAAATGAGACTTGTCTGTCATGTGACCTGGGTCTGCGATGGCCCTCCCTGTTCGTTAACTTGCTGTCTTCAACATGCCCTTGGGAAGTGACATGTGGTTCCATCACGGAGTCAACTTGATCATCCACATGCTCCTCGACCTTTCGATCCCGTTTCAGGAAAGATGATCGTTTTCCTTCCGCAACTTTTTTTTCCTTTTCTTTGTCCTCTTCGTCATCCGACAGCTCAAAGTTAAATGCAAAACTCGAAAGCTTGTCACGTTTGTTAATCCTTCTGGATGCACGTCCTTTCCTTTTTATCGTTTTGTCAAACATCGCCAGCAATTCTAAAAAAAAACATGCTTTATGATATACATGTTCAGGCATACACAGAAAACTTTGATACACGTACCACTACGTAAGAGTGGTAGCAATTTATCCGAGGAACATTTTATATTCGCATTTTTTTATTGCTAAAAAGGCATCATCAAAAAGTTGTAAATAAAAGGACAAATAGTCCATTATGTATGTAGTAATATATGGAAGCAAAAGTAATCAATCCAATTTTCATTTCGCTTACTGACAAAAAATGGTTCTACTATTTTCTAATTTAATTTGGTTCTGCATCCATCAACAGCTAAATAAATTTCAAATTTTGTGCATTAGCTACATTATGCTTGCAGTACACATGCAACAAATTTTATTTACAGAATTTTAAGATAACTGCATACATTATTCGCATAAAATGGTATACTTATATTTACGAACGAAATTATGTTTCAAAACAGAATAGTACGCCTAATCGAAAACAATACATAATGTTTAGTTTATGTGGCACGTTCATATGCCACTAGTTTGTAAGACAAATAAGAAAATGTTAGTTTTGTATGAATGGTGGTGAATGATTGGAGATTATACCAAAAGGAAACATTAGCAGCCATGATCTATCCACTATTGGATGAAGGCCTCCTCCAAGCAGTCTTGAGATGCAACAATCCATCTAGCTTCTTCACACAAACTGTGGCGAAAATCCTCTCAGGCACGGTCCATCCTTTGGCTGCATTTCCATAATTATTCTAGACCATTTTCAATCATTAAACACTTCAAAATAGTATACTACATATAGAAAAGTTCTCATGAATACCTATGATGGCCATTATTCTAATTTTCTTGATGAGATTTTGTAAAAAGAATAGGTGCAATAATGAAGACAATTGATATGCGATAAACTTACAGGGTTCACAATATCACGTTTAGACTTTTTTTCTTATTACTCCTTATACCTTGTTATATATCTAACATTGGCTCTCATTTTAGAGATAATGACACAGGACGTGTGCTGTGCTGTGTTAGGAAGTAAAACACTGCAGACGTGGGGGCATGCTCAGACAAGTTCAGTCTCTTACAATCACCACATCCACCATTACGGCATGCGATAACTGTGGCAAACATACTATATTAGACACTATATGTGCTATTTAGAGAGAAAAAAAGCAGATAACACAACTATTTCCATTACTGGAAGGAGTCTACATAAAATATAACACGAAAAAACCATTTAAATGAATTAAGGGGCCATCCATAAATGACGTCACGCAATTTTGGCCGATTTTTGACTCCCCCTCACCTCCCTCGTCACACAGCGTCACGAAGTCAGACCCCCCTCAAATATGACGTCACAAAGCTCTGCCCCCCCCCCCAAACCATATTTCCATTTTGAAAATAAAACATGCTTCAATTCACTTTAAACTTTTGTCATTGTAGTGCGCATTTAATTTGGCGTTGCACTCTGATTTTGTAGGAGAAAATATGTATTAAAAATGAGGCGTTGGAAAGCTGAAATTTAACATAAAATTAACTTGAAAATATTCAACGTCTAACTAAAACTGCAGATGTTCAGAATATTATATTGAAATTCTCTTATAATTATAAAATATTAAAAGTAATTATAACTATCAAAAAAATACTTAAAACTGTGCAGTAGAACGAAGCAAAATGGAGAGTACAATTATAACAATCACATATTCATTTCACAGAATGAAAAGCCCTGGTAGAATCATTAGAATCAAAATGTTTAATAACAATCATTCAAAAAAATTACTAAATGTATGCTTCTCCATTCTTTAATGGAGAAGCAAAATGCTCCTTCATGGAATAAATAAAAGGTGACCTTAGTAAATTTAAATAATCAAATAGTTAATAATGAAAATTAATCGAAATTAGTGTTGTTATAACAATTATATTTAATTAATATTTATTTAAAGTTGCGCATCTTGATGTGACGTCACATTTCTCAACCCCCCCCCCACCTCTCCCCCTCGTCACACATCGTCACTCTGACCCCTTCCCCCCCTAGGTGCGTGACGTCATTTATGGACGGCCCCTAAGAGAAAATAAAAGGTGATGAATAAAATGTCAAAGTTATGACTAAAAAATATTCTTGTACTTTTACAATTAATATATGGGATGGAAAATAAGTCTTCACATTTTATCAATCAAAGAGAAAATAAATTACTAAAAGACAGGGATTAAGGACTGAAGTGACCTAAACATAAAAATAAAAAAATGCTAGGTTTTCATGATGGACAAATAATACTTGTAACTCTGCTTATGAAATGATTCATTGTTTGTTAAAATTAATACTCTTACACAATCTAGTTCAACTGCACCATTCACAACTGACCTTCATCATCTTCATCAATTGCGTGCTCTTTTTCTCCTTCATCTGTTAACAACCCTCTGCCTTTCCAGCCAGCAATGGTCTGTTCTAGTTCATCCTGCAGGCAAAGTGTGAACGTGTGATTGATCTAACATAAGAATTGTTCGCTCCGTGAATTCCTGTAATTGGAAGCTTATTATCACTGATAATACTCTCACACATTATTTATGAGCTCCCACTTGTTAGTTTTATGTAATTTATAAAAGTGCGGTGTAGTGTGGGAATTTGTATTTAAAATTATCACATTTGGGACAAATTACTGTCACAAAGCATATAAGACGCACATGTCAAAATCAGTATAATAAATTAGTTGGTGTAATCTCTCCACACCAGTCAAATTTATGAAGGCAATACTGACATGTTATATATCTGACATGCCATATCAAATTTCAATCAAATAAAATCCCTTCAGAATGAAGAAATGAACACATCCTTTCTACTAAAAATATCCCATAACAGAAATAAAATAAACCGGAGCACATTTATCCTACTGATTATGCATACAAAGCTACATTTCTTTATAAAATATGTTCAATACTTTCTGGGGTGGCAATAGAAAAAAAGAAAGCATTTTCAAAAGACTAAAATGTTTTGATGACGTTCGTACCTGGAATGATGTCCGCTTTGACTGTTTGGGGCTCTTAGTATGGGCCAGCTTTGTGCTGGAAATTTCATTTTCAGGCATTCTTCACCGCAAACCAGGTAGCTTCAAAAGGGATTTCAAAAGGGCATTATGTCACTCTTCTTAAGAGGTATTGCTTGGCCAACCATATTTTATGGTTGATAACATCAATGCAATTTTATCAGCATACAATGTTTACATATAATCATACAGTTCTTGAACATATATAGTAATTTCAATAGATACATGGGATTACAACTATCAAAATAATATGAAATGTTAAGGACCTGTGTTGATAGTGGTGCACAAGACATATTTAATGGAGAATTTAATAGCAAATGCTGGCATATTACATTTTCTGAACCAAAATGCGCACTGTAAGTCAAGAAAAGCAAAGCCATTCCATGAAGTTGAAGTATGAGCATTATAAGATTACATTATTGGTTATTCTTGAAAGACCTATGCAAATATATTACTCCTAACAATATTTTGTTCCATTCAGAAGAGACTGCAGTGCCTTTCAGCACACCTTATGAATATTACATATGCATGGGAAGTCACACATTCAGTTATCATGAACATTTCACGCGGGAAAATATCTGTTCAAAAAGTATTATTCTTTCGAAATGATCACCTTGATCCATTAAATTGCTTTTAGGATTGACAATCTTAAATATAATTCGGATCACGGGTCAACCTTGATCTTTTCTACTTCTTAAATTTGCTGAACTATTACGCCACCATGAGGTAGCAAAGTGTTCCTGCTGCACAGTCACTGCTTGTGTATGACTACCATAGTGTGCAGTTGCTTCTGAAAAAATGGCATATAGAAAGTAAATGTTCCTAATGTATTCTTTAACTTTCAGACAATAACGACGTCGAATGGGAAACGAGAACATTGACAACCCTCCTCTTTATGCCCTGACTTTGTTCAACTTGTTAAAGGCCATATAAAGTTTAACCACTGTCCCCATGATTCCTTCGCTATGATTAAGCCACCATTCCATTCATTGTTGTACTCCTTTGTATGATCTCGTCCAGTCTTCCGTCTTGTTTGCAATGTTCTTCTGTCTCATTTTTATTGTCCGTACTGTCTCTCCTCTGTAATGTATTGTTCTTTCTTGTGTGGAAACTCAGCGACCCGGGCACGGCAATGGACCCGTTCAGGTTCAGCGCACTACACTGTGAGCCGCGCAGCTCCTTAGACTCGGTTCCCCAACTTTATCTTCATCATTCAACCCGTCGGGAAGTAATCTTAAATAAACGTGCACTTGAATGGTATTTCATACGGGATTAGGTTATGTTAGAATTTCTCTGTCAATAATATATTTTTTGTAAACTTGCATTTGTATTTTCGGTCGAACAAAAATCATTCCCTGATACTGAACTTAGCGAGGGGTCGCTATTTATGTGCAACTTATCTCTCTCTTCTTCTTGGTTCTTTCGGTAAAGTCACATAGAAGGGAAATAATAAAATATTATTATAAAATATTATTTCCCTTCTACGTGACTTTACCGAAAGAATCAAGAAGATGAATCCCTGCAGTCACAAAAGCTTTAAATCGAAATTTATCTCTCTCTCTCTTTCGTTGTTTATCGTCACGACTGGCTGCGAGGGCCACGCGGGTGAGAGTGTGTTTACTAAACGGTATCTTAACGATCCTCTTGGTGCAGGGTTGACCATGTAAATGTTGCAGGGACTGAGGGTTCACCTAGCAGTTCTGTAAACTTCCCACTTGTTGCGATGGAAACGCGGCTTAGCCGACCGTGAGGATTCGTAAGCTTTCAGGATATTTTCCGAGGCTCATAAATTCAGAAAAGGGCAACATTGGGATGTTTTTATTGTAAGACGTGAATAGGTAATCTCGGAAATCCAATACCAGCGGCATGACCACGAGAAACCACAGACTGAGTTTTCAGTTCAGCTCGCAAATGTTCACGGCATGGGCCCTCTGCTGTTGCAATGGCGCTACCTTGCGGATGATTAAATGTTTTGTTTAAAACGACACGCAAATGACCTACAAGTATTTCTACAAACTTAACAAATTCGTCAATAATACCGCCTTAAAATAAAAAAAAGATATAATAGACGATATTTTGTCTATTAGTCCTTCACAATCATCCAGATGCAAGCGAGCATAGCATAAGCGATGCAGTACGAAAAGCAGGGCATTAATATTAATCTGTAATTATTACTTGCCTGAAATAAATATCTAATTTGCTTATTAAATATTAATCTCAAGTCTCTTAGTGGAAGTGACGAGGGTTGATAACGCATGCATTTACGTAGGCGCTCAACCGAGGTGCAGTACTTGACTGTGTATAAGCGCACACATATACAGTACAATATAAACGCGAGGCCCACTTATTAAAAGCATTGAGCAATAACGAACTAACGTAAACAATGCGCGTAAAAGAATTTAAACGTAAACAAAACGTAAATGCCCATCGTTCGTCAGAGGCCTTGTTTCAGTTAACCCATCGGCACTCGGCGAGACACAGACATCGACTCCGCAATACACAACAGGCTTCGCGTAGAGTTTAAAAGCACGTCCCGTTTTTGTTTGTTTGTTTAATAAAGCGATATAAACAGCATGCAAGAAAAAACAATCTATAGTTGAAACGAAGAGGTGCGGCCTACCTCCACGCCGCCTCAACGCCGTCAACCCCAATGGCGTCCCCCATGCAGGCCCGCGGTTGCTAGGCAACCACCACTCCCCACGTCGTCAATGGCGACCGATATTCTAAATCTTCTAAATCTATACTCTTAGGTTATTTAGGTAAAGTCACGTAGGTAAAAAAAAATATATAAAAATAATAATAAAGTAAAATAATATTAAATGATATGAACGCGAAACGTCGGGATTTAATTTAGTTATTTTCATTTATTTTAATTTTATTAGTATGAATCCTTGCAGTCACGAAAGCTTCAAATCTAGAATCTTCTAAATCTCTTCTAAATCTATCCGCCGCTGGATGAAGCGTTAAGTATTTGACTATTCATAATATGGGTGTGGGGGATTTTTTTCTTGGGGGGGGATCGTGTAAAAATAAATGTGTCGTTAAACCCGCCACCACCCGACACAGCCAATTTAGTGAGGTTTTGCCACCTAAACAGAACGTGGCCAATTCGTTAATCGGAGAGCAAATCCACAACATTTACAATCTGAGTACGACGTTTCGCCAGTGGTCCCATGGTAGAGGAGTCCGCGGTGTTCGTAACACAAGGGAAACTTTGGTTTAACACGTAGGCTTTCACCACCAATATCCAGGGTTTTTGGGTTAGATCGCGTAAATATAGAAATGTGTCGTTAAACCCGCCACCACCCGACACAGCCAATTTAGTAATGTTTCGTCACGTAAACAGAACGTTGGCAATTCGTTACTAGTTACAAGCACACCGGTTTTGTGTTGGAGAGCAAATCCACAACATTTACAATCTGAGTACGACGTTTCGCCAGTAATTACAACTAGCTTCATCAGGCGGACAGCCAGATTTGTGGAGAAATCCTCCTGTTTCATTCCTTAAATAGAGGGTGGTGGCGGGTTTAACGACACATGTACGCGATATAACCCCCTCCCCCCCCCAAAAACCTCTATTATGGATATTGGTCGCGAAAACCTACGTGTTTGACTATTTTTTACTTTACCAAATAATAATAACACTGTAACAATTTGTTTTTGTTCCTGGGTAGTAAGTGTTATTTCCTAATTGCTTATGCCTCAAAAGTACAGAAAATGGCTATTATTCCCCACAAACTTTGTTTTTGTGACCAGGACAGTGATATTTAGAAATTTACCTATTTTCCAGAACATTCCAGATAGATTCAGTGCTGAGTAAACTTGGAGTAACTTCTAGAACATTCTAGAACTTTCCAGTAATATAAATAGCCCACCATTTCAGTATAGTTCCAGCTGCCTAAGTGGATACATATCTGAATTTTTCTGAGATGGTATCAAGAGGCTGCAAGCATCCGGCAGGCACATTTTGCGATGTTTGCGGTCAATTTATCAACACAAGAGTGAAACAGTACTCTGTGGAAGCACCTGCTAAGATGTGTGAGGCCTACAAGGCATATTTCGGAATGCCTGTCATGAGCTCCCAGTACCCACTCCTCCGGAGAGAGAGCAGCCGTCTCTAGAAGAGAGCAGCAGTCAGAGAGGAAGGGAGACGTAGATCCAGATGACAATTTCATAGATGGAGCTGAGGAGAGAAACCCATACTATCCCAACCAAACAGACCTCAACGACTTGATCAGAGATCTTGGTCTTACCAAGTCCAATGCCGAGCTTTTGACGTCTAGGCTCAAGAAGTGGAACGTGTTGGATGGAAGTGTGCAAGTCCCAGATCAGAGGAAGCGTCAACAGCCTTTTTGCAGCTTCTTCGCCCGTCAAGATGGGCTCTGCTTCTGCCACAAATGTGACCAGTCTGTTCGAGGCAATCGGAATCGCCTGTAACCAGAATGAGTGGCGCCTCTTCATTGACAGCTCATCCAGGAGCCTCAAAGCCGTGCTGCTCCATAATGGTAAAAAGTACCTGTCTCTTCCCCTGGCTCACTTGGTGCACCTCAAAGATGATTATAACAGCATCAAGACCTTGCTGGACGCCTTGAAGTATGATGAGTATGGCTGGGAGGTCACCGAAGACTTCAAAATGGTGGCATTCCTGATGGGTCCCCAAGGCGGTTTTACCAAGTTTCCCTGCTATATTTGCCTTTGGGACAGCAGGGACACCAAGGCGCACTACCAGGCGGGACTGGCCACAGCGGACCGAGTTCTCTGTAGGGAGATCGCTCTGACGTCTCGTGGAAGAGCGTTCCATAGCTTGGGGGCTACACGGGCATGATAGCTCAACGAAGTGGCTATCATCATCGCGTGAAAATGTATAGCAGTAGCCAAATTACTGTAAAACGAGTGTTGATGTTGATTCTAAATGTGGAGGGGGAAACCTGGAGGACCCGGAGAAAAGTCCACGCGACCACGGGGAAAGAGACGTGGACACTCTAAATATACAACAGGCGTCTGGGTCGGGATCGAACCCATGCCGTCCTGTATACCAGGTAAGGCAATTAACATCTCTACAGTGCAGCACCACGGTGTGAATTTAGGCGTTCCGAATACCAAATCATCCGGATGCGCCAGATCTCAAAGCTAAGCGGATTAGAGCCTGGATTATGCTTGGATGGTTTTCAAGTTTCATTTATTTGGTATAGCCCTGTGAGCCCTGTGAGCCCTGCGGCTCTTAAGTCGGGTGCAACCGCAACAAACAAAATGCATAGTGGGTGACCACTATGCATAGGCTGCAGAGGGCAGTGCAGCAAACATTCATTGTTGTACGGTGCTAACCAGTGCACTTCTATGGTCTCGCGTAGATGCTCCCCACCTTCACCAACCCGCACTGATCAGCGCGACCAGCACGTCTTAGGGAGGACCTCAGAACGGATGTGCATCCACATTAATTAGAAATCAAACATTGTCCCAAAAATGTCTGGATATTTATTTTGATCGATTAAGCTCACGAATGTATGCGTTGAATCGCGCAAGAATCGATATATATATTTTTAAAATCTGCACGGTACTCGCAGACCGCACGTCCGTTGGATGTGACCGGTTCGTCCGTATGTCCAGCCAGCAAGCAAAACTTTTTTGTTAAGGAGGTGGGCGTGACGTCACCACGCACGTACGCAGGCGAACGCTGTGGGATGCGAGTGACGTAACCACGCAGATTTACGCGGTGACGTCATAGTCCCGCACGAGCCTGAAATCCAGGCATGAATCCAGCCAGCAAAACGTCGTTTAATACGTGTGTGCACAGTCACACCCCGGTTTGCGTCGGGAATGCGTTCCTGAGAGGTGCGACGAATATCGAAACGACGTAAATCAAAGCAATTTACAGGAAGGTGGGAGGAGAAGGCTTTGAGAGGCGACGGGTACGAGAAAGGACGGAATACTGCCAGCGACGTGAGTGTGGGTTGAGTCGACGCAAATCAGGTGGTGGTATTAATGAAGTGACGACGTATTTAAGAAACGACGCAGACATGGGAGACGTACATCGGGGTATGACTGTAGTGTTTCGGTGGCATTGCGTTCACGTGAGTCGGCGTGACCACTCCACTATATCTGCACAATATTTAAAGAAAACGATTTGATTACTGAGTCGAGTTATGGACCTTACATCGTGACAGATTGAAAGTCGCGGTGGTGCGAATCATCAAACCACGAGTAATCATCCACTTGCTTGTCAGTACTTGGCTATGCATACAAAACGTATTGATTCTTTGATCTAAAATATAGCTTCATTGTCCCTCCTGGGATAGAACTTTTTTCCATAAAGAATGTACACCTGTGTTTGATACGATATGGTGGCAGGTTAAAGTGCATCATGCCATAAAGAGTATTATATAGTCATCACATATACATTTACTAGACATCCCTACCATACTGAATTTTTGGGTTGCTTTGTGTATTCGGTTCAAAAAGTTCAAACTGCAGTGTAAAGAGAAGCAGCAACTAAGAGCTAGAGGGTGGTGATAAAAAATACATAAAAATCTAAGAAGTGACGGACAGCCTTTCTTACATCGATACAAATTGTTCTTTTTAAAATATTCCAATGCAGCTGGCATGATACCGACAAGGATGTGCGGTTTCCTTAGTACTTCTACATAATGAACAGGAATAATTCTGCACATTTAATATGAACGTTCTTAATACATATGACTTTGCATATCCTGCACTGTACTTTATGCAAGCATCTGGTAAACCTTCGTCAGGGGAAACAATCGCAGTTCAATTACAATTTTGTAGCACTCACTCCCATACCATCACTGTCATCTAACACGTAGAAGGGGAAAAAAACTACTACAGTAATTGCATTTTGAAAAATGACCAACTACATCCTGGCAGAACGAACAATATCCTTCATGTTTATTAACCACACCAACCAATAAAACGTAAAATGACAAGCCTATACTGCATCAGCGTATGAAAATAAATGGGTTTGCACCAGGTTGACATGGGCTGGGAGCTTTTGTGGAGGGCGATAGAGCAAACGTTTCGTACAAAAATTTATAATTATATATGCACATGCCAATGAACACATTTAAATAATTTTCAGAACATTTTGTATGTGTTCTTGAGCAATGTATACTGTTTGGTAAACAGTGAACAATATGGAACAAAAATTAACCCGTAAAAACAAAGTTTTTCACTATAAATCCTTTATATGCGTGGCGTCGGTTTTATTTTATTATTCATTTCTGTTTTTCTTGAGTAAGAGTTTCATTTTTATCACATTGGTATTTTAAATTAAGTATGAAAAAAAAATCCTAAAATGTGGAAAATTTTGGACATTTTTTTTCACGAAAATAAATTGTCACGCACAACGAGTCTGTGTGCAAAATGTTAAAAAACGACCGAAAGATTTGTACGGTCGTAAGCGCGCAAGCAAGCAAGCAAGTGAACTTAATATAAAGGATTTTAAAAGTCAAAGAAGCATGGCGAAATGCGTGTTTGGGATTGCACTGACAGGAAAGGAAACACATGGATGGATTAAAGAACATTCGCAGGTTAACGAAAAGTAAGTCGGCTTGGGCAAGACATGTTGCTAGAAGGGATGGTGACAGCCAAAGAAGTGGACGCTCCGGAGAGGATTGAGATGGAGCGGTTTGTGTGCACGTGTTGGGTGGATTGCAGCATCACGGGACCGTGAGGGATGTGACAGCTTTGAAGGCCTTCAGCCAGCAGTGGAATGATCATGGCTAATTATACTGTACTGATGGAAGAAACATCTTGTATAATGTATACTTTATTAGGAAGCCACTGGAGCTATGCACTTTTAAGTCTAGATGGGAAACTCATTTCTTTATAAATGCTTTTTGTATTTAGTTTGTTGCCCTTTTCCCCGCACCTCCGATTTGCACGGTTGGCTACGTACGGTGCGAAAGAAGTTTGACATATGATAATTGTTTTTTTACCCTTCTCTTTGGCAACAAAACTGACACTTTTTTTACAAGGAGTCATGTTTGCACAGACCACAATACCTGCAATCATAATGCAAACAAAAAACATCTGGTCCAACACCATGTGAGACTAGGCTCTAAGGAAAGCTGTCTCGGGTGTGGACCAATCAACTTCATGGACAGTGCATACATCATCAGAGTTATGTTTTTTGTTTGCATTATGACTGCAGGTATTGTGGTCTGTGCAAACATGACTCCTTGTAAAAAAAGGTGTCAGTTTTGTTGCCAAATAGAAGGGTAAAAAAAGAATTATCATATTTTTTACTGGCAAATGAGGTTCCAATGGTGTAAAAGTTTGACATACATATACAGAGTACTTGTTCTTGTTTTGATAACAGACACAAACAAAAAGTAACAAAATAAACAGAAAAAAATTCTGATTGTCTCTCCATATAAAAAAATTAAAGCATTTCATACGCAACCCATCAGCCCCACAGCTTTCCGAGGGTGCATGATTTCGGCAGCATTGGTTTAGTACAAGAAGACTCGGGACCGGTTTTGGCATACAGGCTCATCAGCAGTTAAATAAAAAAAATTCCTCAGCAAATAATAAGTTAAATAATTTGCATACTATGGGATGAAATTGTTTTGCTTTATCCCTCCAGCTTCAAAAAGTTAATTCAGTTAAAATTGCTGCTTTGGTGAATTAGATTTAGGTGTAATTCATCAAACTCACAACTTTTACAGCAATTAATGCTTCCATACAAGACAATGGTCCATGTAATTACACCTAATGGAATTTTAATGTAGTTGACCCAGAGGCCTTACCCAAGTCTTCATTGGACATTAACCTATATACGTACATGGTTTACATGTGCAGTGACATGGAATGGGTCGCTACGTAGCATAGGGATGGTTGCTGGCAGAGAAGGGAATCTGCAGTTGCGGCAGCCCTGTCTGTCAGCAGGTCACGTGTTAAGCCAGGAAGAGGGATGTAAGGCAAAGGTGATAGAGGGGTCACGTGAGGGAAGCCCGGCAACCTGCCAGTAGGGCAGAGCGAGGCCACGCTAGGAGGATAAAAGGGGACCCCGAGCAAAGGCTCAGGGCTGTTGCTTGGAGTGGAATCCCGTTGGGCTACTGGAGTTTTCTTCACCGTTTTCACCTTCTCGTCAGGCAGTCTGTCTGTTAGCTGTCCTGGCTGAAAGTGTAGTTACCCTGGTACCTTGTGAAGGCTATAATAGAGTGCCTCCTACTCCTAGTGTCTCTGAGTAGGTCACTACACATGTAACAAATTGCATACGTTGTCATGCAGGGCCATCCAATGACATTTGTGTATTCTTAACAAAATCATCTAAGTGCTTACAAAAGCATGTTAATTCATAATATATATATATATGACTAATCATTACCTAGTGCATGAATAAAGAGGTATTTTTCGAAGCAGAGGAAGTTTATCACTTCAGATTTTTGCCCATGTTCGTAAAGCTCAAAAAAGCTATGGTAACATTTCCACTACTACATCAAATAGAATAATAAATGTTTGTCTATTTGGTCAATATTGCAACTGGACATATGTGTAATATGAATGAGGGTTGAGTCAAAATCAAGACAAAACATCTATAAAACATACACATTCGAAATAAAAAAAAACATTTAATATATGCAGTTCTCATATTTCAGCAAAAACACTGGCATTTGGGAGTCACATCAGTATGTATTAGTAAACACACATCTTTAATCAATAGACACTTGAAATGTGGTTTTCTTTTCATAAAATGCTGTGAAAGGACCATGTCAGTGTCATGATACAGAAATATACCAAATCCTGTATAACTGTTCTTTATTACTTAATGTCAAATTTCAAATTGATTGCTCAATAAAAATGGAATTGTACTCAGCACATACTAAAGATTATTCATGGTGGTCTGATACAAAAGGTCGAAATAATCCTTTATTATAAATAATATATACTCATTAGAATAGCTGAAAAGCAATTAAGCAGGCTGACAGACCAGCACCATAGCCACATTTATTTAGCAAAGAATGTAATAACTGACAATATCTTCTTCCTCTCTGTCACCATGGAATTTCAGTGCCATCCCATGCGTAGAATTTGCCTGTCTGCTCAAAAGCGAGTTTGTTCACTACATTCATGATGTGCTGCACAGATTTCTCAGGCGTGAACAGCTTGTTCAGTGGCACGTTGCGGTGGTAAGCCCGGGACAGGTCCGTGTCAACTGTGCCCGGGTGGACGCTGATGCAGACCACACGTCCTTTCCCGCGGCTGAGTTCCACGCCGAGGTTACGCGTGGCCATGTTAAGTGCAGCCTTGGACAAACGGTAGCTGTACCAGCCACCCAATGCTGCATACGGAACAAATGACAAAGGTCAACGGCAGAAAAATGCAACCGTGGTGGCACCCATGGCTAAGGTGTGGATTCATCTTCTTGGTTCTTTCGGAAGAGTCACGTAGAATGGAAATAATAAAATAAAACATAATAAAATAATTCTCACAACGTTTCGGCCACAACGCAAGCAGCCGTCCTCAGGCGAAGACCAGGTCTGTCGGGGAGACAGCGTCTGAATGATGTGCTGCACAGATTGTGGCCGAAACGTCGTGAGAATTATTTTATAATGTTTTATTTTATTATTTTATTATTTCCATTCTACGTGACTTTACCGAAAAAACCAAGAAGATGAATCCCTGCAGTCACGAAAGCTTTAAATCGAAATTGAAGGTGTGGATGTTTTGAAAGTGGGCGTGCTTGTGCACCCCAACATTTTAGCGCTTTAAAGGCGAGAGTTGGTGGAACATAGATTTGTGGAAACTCCTAAATTCAAACATTCTGTGTGTTCTTTTAATTATTATCCCCTATGTATGTTTTCTCTGGGTGCTCAGGCTCTCTCCAATCATTCAAAATGAATTGGCTCAAGATCCAAATGTTGGACCTCTGAAAAAAATATTGAGGCTCAGCAAGGATTTTCCTTGATAAATACATAATTTTAAATTTAGCGAAAAATATTCACCATAGGTAATTGCATACGAACAATGTATGAGCATTGCAGACGGATGGTGCATTTCCTTTTTAAGCCAATAGGTGGCAGATTTGAAGCACATACTGTATATAAAATAAGTAGTGGCCTTGATAGTGGGGTAAAAAAAATATCCACAATAGGTTGGAAAGATCCATTAAACAAATTACCTAACCGTACTCCAAAATGTTTTAAGATTCAACCGACTAATAATATAGATGAATCATTATGAGCCATAATCTATCTGCTGCTGATAAGGCCTTTCCTCGCCAATGCCATCTCTCCAGGTCGAGCGATGCCACAATCTATTACGCTCCTGTATGGGCTGATCTCACTCCATCTCCGTGTTGAGTATCCACTCTGTCATTCCCGCTTTGGGTTTGAACTCTATGACCAGTCTCGCTCATCGGCCAGTATCCCTTCCAAAGTTACATACTACCCAAGCCCACTTACTTTTCTTGACAGTCAATGTCTTTAATTTGCATGTTCTCCAATCTATGCATTTCTGTCTTTGTTTAATTGCTAGCATGCACCTCCCGATGCTTTAAATATACATTTGCATCTCTTGTTCCATTTTATGGTCATGCTTCAGATATATAAAAGTAGAGAGTACAACATTGATTAAAACTGTTTTCTTTGGTATTTGGATATTTTCAAATTTAGTTTTTAAAAGTATTCCAATCTGCTCTAAGTCGTCTTACTTAATGTTTACCCTGACCTGCCTTAAATAATTCCACTATTCAGTTATATTTTTTTAAGTATTGTACCTCCAACAATTTTGTTTAGCCAACTTATCCTACTTGACTTCTGTTTTGCTCATTTATTTCAATATTAATCTGTGATGTATATGTAAATGAAAGGATTTTTCTTAATACAGCTTTCTCATGTGGTTGGTTGGCAATCAAGGATTTCCTAACATCTTCATAAACTTTTGTGATAAGTTAATGGGTCTATAATAATCCAAATGTTTTGTCCCTGTTTGAATTCATGGATTATTAAGCTGTCATTCCATAATTCAGGTATTTTATTTTGTGTGTAACTGCTTGGTATACATATCCACGAATTTCGTTATAACAGCTGATCTTGCTTTTTTATATCCATATTTTTTTCCTTCTCATTGAGGAGCTTTCCCAATTTTTTTATTATTGTGAACGGCAGTATTTATTTAGTCACGGAGAACAGTTGGATCAGATCTGAATTAACAGTGCTGAAAATGTTGTCTCCAGAGAATGAATACTTTTTTTTAATATTTGGGTATTATGCACACTCTTTCGCAAAAAAACCCAGCATAATGTTAATGTCCAGGGCAAGTACTACCAAGTGCTGTCACTAATGTACACATTGTTCATTAATTCATTTAAGTGCTCTGCTAAATATCATGCCATGTCAAAATATGATAGATTGAGAAGCATATGTTCTGTGTCTCAGGCCAATGCTTACCGTTGTCTCCGATGGAGCCCACTCTGGCAGAAATGTTCACAAGCACAGCACTGTGGCCCTTGCCCATCTGCTGCCCAAAGTGCCCACCCCCTTTTTGCAGGAGCCCAGCAAAATGCTTGGCCATGAGCAGGGGTCCCAATGTGTTCACAGCCAGAGTCGCTGTCAGCCCCTTAATGTCAAAAAGAAAGATGAATTTCCATTCATTTACAAAGTACATTTGTTTTACTTGGCGTGAAATGTCACATTCATCACATTGTCCACATGTACATCACTTAATGTCTGCTCTGCATGACCTCTCAAATTCAGCAATATCTTTTAAAGCAGCTTGTCCAGCCTTCTATTTTCAACGTAAAACCCCCACGTTGAAATACTATTCTCTCACCTACAGCGCAACCCTCGTCAGAGCACAGTTAAGCACCACATGCTGCGCCTGCCATGCCAACCTCAGCTGTCACGTCCCGCAGGCTCGTTTCTCCTCTGCCGCCTGGGTGAAGCATTGCAGCCACGTTAATGAGCAAATCCACGCGGCCGTGCTGCTGGGCAACCATCTCTGCCGCCCGTCGGATCTCATCCTCTTGAGTCACGTCCAGCCTGAGCATCTGCAGACGGCTGCGAGATGAGCTAGATGGGTGCTGAAGCGCCTGCAGTTCACGAGCACCATCAGGGTCTCGGCAGGTGGCGATCACAGTGACAACTGGAGATTCTTCTCCCTGGGAGCCAAAGCCAGGCCGTGCGAGGAGATGGCGGCAGAAAGCCAGACCAAGGCCACGGCTCGCGCCGTGTACCAATGCCACAGCCATCAGCTCCCGCAATGTTCAATTCCACCTGCAGGGTCAGTCAGCTCCTCGGCTGCAGAATGTACATCACGACAAGCAGTAAGTCACAATTGCCCGTGACCTCATGCAGGATTCATGATACACTATGCTGACGAAAAAGGCCATCGATATTTATACCTTGTGATTTTAGTGCAATGTTCTTGTGATGTCTTCTGCAACGAAACCAAGTTAATCTCTGAAAATGTGTTCGAGCGACAGCCATCTGTCTACTCGTCATGTGTTCATTCGCAAACCAGTAGGTAAGGGTGAAAGGTAAACGTACATCCCTGCAATGGCTTATTTATGCCACTGCTGGCAGAAGGGCCCCCACTAGATAATATCTGGCCTCCTCTTCCATGCTGGCCATATATTTTGGAAGAAGTGGAAGTAGCCACACTTTACCCCACGACATGTGATCTGCCGATCGACTGTGTACTAATCGATACTGCTGGGTGGAGATTTAGCCGGTGGCCTCTGCATTGCAAGTCCATTGTGGTAACCATTACACCATGGGCAACATCCCAGCACCGATTCTAGATTTGAAGCTTTCGTGACTGCAAGGGTTCATTTTCTTTTTTTTTCCGGTAAAGTCACGTAGGTAAACAATTAAAATTAATAAAAGTAAAATAAAAATAAAATAAAAATCACGACGTTTCGGAGGCAACACAATTTTAATTTTTTTACCTACGTGACTTTACCGAAAAAGCCAAAGAATATGAATCCCATCACCGCTTTGGCGACTGTATAACCAACATGGATTAACCAGAAGGAATTGCAGAGAACGCTGGAATTTTACTCACCCCGAAAAATTATGCTGGCCAACAACTCTACATTCATGCGAAACGCTCAGAGGGATTTCCAAAGCCTGGTGTTCTACAAGGCTGAAGATGATGATGCTGACAGTAAGTCCTGTGCGTGTGACTGTGGCTGTCAAGACCGATGCGTGAGTGGCAATCTTCCCCACAGTGCACTTGTAATTTGATGTCAGTAAATTCGTTTAGCAGCCCAAAAACAAGAATAAAGGCTGTCCGTTTATATATACACCTCACGAAAATAATAGGGATGCATTTATAGGGGAAAAAATGCAATGCCTCTACACATCTGCGACCATTATGAAATGTGTCAATGCACTTTATAAATATTTCAACAACTTCTCTGCAAGATACTGAGCCATCACTTTCACAATATTCAATAGCATGTTCAGATCATTATTAAAAAAAAATCAGTGAGGCATCTATCAATGGATTACCGTCATAAACACTCCATTTACCATCTTACGATCAATTAGAGTAATACAGAATCCACGCAAAAACTCGAATTTGTTGCATTCAAGTGGCATAGACGCTTACCGTACTCTCCAGATTGCAAGTGCAGCATAGAACAGTGGGGAGTGTGCGTCTTATAATCCGGATAATACGGTAACATTTGCGCACTCATCTCCTCCGTGACCACACGCTCCACGCTTGCAACCGTGAACAGAATTTGAACTCATATGGCATGGCACTGAACCGCGAAGGCTCTTTCGGGGAAGTTTACGATCGCAACGAACACTAGATTTGTCTTAATTTTGGAGCTTTCGTGACTGCAGGAATTATTCTTTGTTTTTTTCGGTAAAGTCACGTATAAAGATAAAATGATATTTAATTTATTATTTTATCTTTATACGTGACTTTACCGAAAAAACCAAAGGACTAGATTTGTCGTGGAAATACATTCAGCCTTAAATAATCCACTGCTGGATGAAAGCCTCCTTCATGCTGTCGGTCGTGGGAGTTTTTGTTTTCCAATCAACACAATGCCGTACTGAAACATTCGGCCTTGCTTAGTCCACCGAGTAGAAATATTTAACCTGTCCACGTTCGATTCGTCGTGGTTCAGTGAATCATACTGCATAGTACAGTGCTAAACGAAGGCCTCTCCACGCTGTCGGTCGGTCGTGGGGAATCGTTGACCATACTTCACCGCGCCGGTCAGTCCGGTTTAACGAAGCAAGGCCCCCCACCCACCCCTTCTAAAGCCCGGTTCAGCCACCCGTGTTAGCCGTGGCCAGGCATCCAACTCGGGTTGATGGACAAAGCGGACTTGCACAATGCACCTCGAGATAGTTGAATGGCAAAGGCGCGGCCCGCAAGCAATGTGCTTTCACGCTCCACTATTGGCCGAAAAGGGGCCCACCCACTCCCACTCACTCACCCACCCACACCCACTCCCACTCACCCACTCACCCACCCACTCCCACTCACTGACCCACCCACTCCCACTCACCCACCTCCACTCACCCACCCCCACCCACCCACTCACCCACCCACACCCACTCCCACTCACCCACTCACCCACCCACTCCCACTCACCCACCCACTCCCCCACCCACACCCACTCACCCACTCCCACTCACCCACCCACTCCCACTCACTCACCCACTCACACCCACCCACTCCCACACTCACCCACCCACCCACTCCCACTCACCCACCCACACCCACTCCCACTCACCCACTCCCACTGACCCACCCCCACACCCACTCCCACTCACCCACCCACACCCACTCACCCACCCACTCCCACTCACTCACCCACCCACACCCACCCACTGCCACTCACCCACCCACACCCATCCACCCTCACCCACCCACCCACTCCCACTCACCCACCCCCACTCACCCACTCACCCACCCACTCCCACTCACCCACCCACTCCCACTCACTCACCCACTCACCCACCCCCACCCACCCACTCCCACTCACCCATCCACTCCCACTCGAGGGAGGCCCAAAGATCCCCCGTCGACACTTTGAACTCTTCCACGGCGGAGCCAGACGGTCTTAATTGTACCTTCCGTGGCAAGCTACGAGCGCGGCTTCCCAGGGCAGGCGAATTGTGATCGTAACTCGGTTGTGTAAGCTCAAGAGTCACGCGCGCGTTATGTAAAGGGTGACGTGACATTGGCACGGAGCCCGCAAATGGCAAAGCGAGGCACCCGAAAGCGGTGCGAGTGGTGAGCCAGACGCGAAAGGCGAGTGTCTGTGCTGGCATACCACGTAGCCCATCCCCGTGTGTCAAACTGAGCTCCCTGTGTGATCACACGGTCCGCTGACTACCACCGTTGGTTGTCCTTGATGGTTATTGCAGGAGGGTGAATTCCTAATTGATCCCTTCCGTCAGATGTCAAGCGGTCCCACAGCTTCCAAACCTATGTTTGGCGACCCCGAGTGTTGACTCTTCAGATTCCATGCTCGGTCGTCTGGTGGCGTTGCTTAGTCGCTTCCTTCCTGGCTTCAGACACCACACACACACACTTCAAATACCAAACAATAAATAAAGTACCGGAAAATAAGTAAGGGAAAACATCGTAATTCAGTTTTATTTGTCGTTCAGCACAACCACCACCATCACAAACCCGCACTGACCATCGTGGTGAAGTTTGATCAAATATACTCTTTGGGTCTTTCGGTAAAGTCACGTAGATAGAAAAAAAAATCAAGACGTTTCGATCGCAACACAAGCAACCGTACTCAGGTGAAAAAATATTACACACGGTGTGCAAGGTGTGGGCAGTGCCCTGGATTAACAAAACTAAAGGCACATTGACACGTATCTTGCAGACAGCGGTTGCAGGTTGAGATGACAAAAAAAAACAAGATCGAAATGCTTGTTCCACAAATATGGGAGGCCAAAAACTACGTGGTTATTGCACTTCGTAACCTGATGCCATGTTACGATAAGAACATAAAATATTTCAACAGGCTTGGCTAATACATCTCTCAGTTCCACATGTTGAGGGCAAAATCGAAAATAGTTGGTCTACCCATTTTTGCTGATTATGCGCATGTTCGGAACTTTAATTGTGCCAAATTTCAGCTTTCTAGTACTCCTCGAATATTTTAATCACATCACTCGATTACAGCATTACATGAATACAGCTAACAACATTGCCTCGCGGCAATTTGATCTGCCGTAATTATTTCAATAACACGCACATATAATGTATATTTGTCCAGCACTATATTTCAGAGATAATGTCACGATGCCCGAGGCCTGTGGCGATGCTCGAGTGTAGAGTCGCTGGTCAGGGCGCTGCCTATGATTAAATCACCTTTGTCATATGCACCTTATAGAATACACCTTGTCATATCTCTAACGCTAGGCAGGGTTGAGCCTGGATAGTGTTTGAATGGGCAACTAACATGTATAAACACATTGTCAGCAGAGGCCAGTGGGAAAAAAACCTAACGTTGCAATGTACTAAGCTAGATTTGAAGCTTTCGTTACTGCAAGGATTCATACTCTTAGGTTCTTTCGGTAAAGTCACGTAGGTAAAAAATAAGAATAAAAAAAAGAATAATAAATGAAAATAATAATAAAATAATAATAAATGCATTTTTTTTACTATTTTCATTTATTATTATTTTATTATTATTTTTTAACCTACGTGACTTTACCGAAAGAACCTAAGAAAATGTACTAAGCCCCTAATGTCTATGCTCTCCACCTTCAACCCACACGGACAAGCGTGATGATGTACATGTACGGCCAAACAATCCCCACCATTCCCTTTGAGTGGGGGAGACTGTGATCCAGTCGTGGATTGCAACAACGACTGCTGCACATGCACGTTGCAGTGCGGTTCTGGTACATTTCTGCCCGAGCAACAATACATTGAAAATACAACCTGATATGTAACTTTCGTGCAAACGAGTGTCCTTATTTGGTGTGGCAATATCAATAGACGACAATGGATGACCCTTCACCACAACATGCTATTCATAGCAAAGAACAAGGAGGCACTCATTTGATAAAGTACCTGCAGTGCATTACAGGAGGTCGAAATTGGATTTCAATTCAAGGTTTCTGGAGCCAAATGTGAGCATGCTATATGGTGCTGTAGTAAATGGGACTTTACATTGCAGTAAAGGAACCATGTGGCGATGCCATGAAAGTGTAATAACTCAGAGAGATGGGGTCCGAATTATAAAACAAAAGTTACGTTTCATAATAAAGGTTAGATCGCGTTATTTATAAATGTATCGCAACCCCCCACCACCCGACACGGCCAATCAGTAAAAAATGTGTCACATTGACAAAAGACAAATAGTTCACTACTTTAGCCCACCGGTGTGTTGAAGAGTGAATCCACAACATTTACAATTTTTGAGTATAAATTTCGATTTAAAGCTTTCGTGACTGCAGGGATTCATCTTCTTGGTTCATTCGGTAAAGTCACGTAGAAGGGAAGTAATAAAATAATAAAAATAAAAATAATAAAATAATTATCACGACGTTTCGGCCACAACGCAAGCAGCCGTCCTCAGGTGAAGACCAGATCTGTCGGGCAGACAGCGTCATTCAGACAGCGTCATTCAGACGCTGTCTCCCCGACAGACCTGGTCTTCACCTGAGGACGGCTGCTTGCGTTGTGGCCGAAACGTCGTGAGAATTATTTTATGTTTTATTTTTATTATTTTATTACTTCCCTTCTACGTGACTTTACCGAAAGAACCAAGAAGATTAATTTTTGAGTACGTTACGTTTATTTACAACCTCAGCACTGTACCGAGTCTCGGGTGTTCCACACAAACGCGCACACCATACCGTAGCGTCACACCAGCCACTACCACCATGAGCAACAACAACAACCATTATATTCTTGGTTCTTTCGGTAAAGTCACGTAGAAGGGAAATAGTAAAATATTAAAAATATTAAACAATAAAAACATTTCTTGCTGTGGATTTCACACCTGATGACGATTGCTTGTGTTGCAGTCGAAACGTCGTGAGCATTTTTATTTTGTATTTTAGTATTATTTTATTATTTCCCTTCTACGTGACTTTTCCGTAAGAACCAAGAATATGAATCCCTGCAGTCACGAAAGCTTTAAATCAAAATAAAACAAGCATTATGTTATCGCTTCCAGTCCCGTTACCCCAAAAGTTGTGTTTACATAACACGTTGTCTCACCACAGGCTACGATCGTTACATTTGCAAATGCATTTTGATATTTTTTCCAGATTTCATAAAATTACTGTACAACATTGAGGGTTGAATTTCCTGCCGAGGGACGCTTCTGCTCCCATGACTTCTGCTTCGTCAATTAGCCCATTGCTGTAATCCTTCTGCAACGCCCCTTACTCGAGCACGGTTGGCTAGGTACGGTGCGAAAGAAGTTCTACATACATACGAGCACTCTGTGTTAGAATCAAGTACCGTGTGCTCAGGCACCCCACATAACAGTGTCATGATAAATGCACTATAAAGTACAACGAGTTAGCAACAATTCCAATGCGTAATTAAGTGCCATGACATTTAGCCAGCGCCTACAGAGATCCAGCAGTGGGTAGCTCTTGCCTTATGATAATGATGATGACATTTAGCCAGTGCTCACTGACACTGCACGTGATCGATTTACATTATGATCACTTTCACACAACTCCCAATGTGTATGCGAATATTCTACATGATCAACTATAGGTTATTTACATTATGTATTCATTAAGGGACCTATTTATGCTGTAAACATCACACAAATATCCACACGCTGAAACAGACGGCAGTGATATCAACCGAAGCACACCGGACACATCGTTAAGAGAGGGGCTTACACTGTTGTGTTCTTCAGCGATTCATCCATTGTTGGGTAACCACATAGGCATCCAGCAGTGGAAACACCTTGTCATCCAATCCCAAGCCTCTTCCGATTTTGTGAGTTGAGAGCCAGAGGTCAGAGATTGTAGAACATGAGGCTGTATATCCATCGCAGCCGCTTGACATCTTGCCGCAGTTGAGCCATCTCATTGAAGTGCACTTCAAAAATATAAGAAATAAAAGCAGCTTATCGTAACAAGGGACACATTCACTGCAGCATTTCCTAAATTATGAATTTTTGGCAATGTAAAATGTGATATTGGTTGATTTCACGTTTATTGTGTAGTTTTAAGTCGAATCGAAACTATATTTAGCCATTCAGAGCTTTTTGTCATTCCACTGATGGATGGATTCCCCACGCCATGTCAGTCATGTTTTTTTTAATACACTTCATCAGACTCGTCAGTGCTGGCTGGCGTAAAAGAGGTGGCAAAATTATTTCAGATGTAGGTCGTCGCTGATGTTGACTGTGGCCAGGAATGGGGAACTCAACTCCCGAGGTGCAATGCACAGTGCTAACCACTGCACCGCTTGCTATAACACAGCTCCCACCTTCCACCCCCCGTCTCCCTTTCCGATATACACTACAGGCTAGTAAACAGCCACATTATTAACAGCTATGAATACTTATTTGTTTTCCACAAAGTAAACAAACACCAGTGAAAACACTTATTGATCAGGCCAGCAGAATCCAGCATGCAGAGGTGTTGTTTACCAACGCCCATCATGATCCAATCCCTCTACGCATTTGCAGCTTATCTATATATATACACACACACACCTTTGAATTGCCTCCAAACTTTGTGCTGCCAATATAAATTGTATTCAGAATGATGACAAGATTGACTTTGCATCATACAGTACCACCTCTACAGCCAATTCCCGTCTGCACAGGGAAGCTACTTGTGGACTGTACTCTCACAAATCATATCTGCAAATTAAGCAATATGGAACCTATTTTATTCATGTCAGCACCAATGCATCTGCCATTTACACATATATCTGCAGCATCTATATATATTAGATCTTAGGGTGTGCGTTCCATTAATTGGCGGGAGCAGAGGTGCCGAGGTTTGCACTGTGCTCTGAGCCCTCCGATCTGACTTTGATTCCCAGCCATGCCTCACATCAGTGGCGAGTGATCTTTAAACCGGTCCTGTAGACCCACATTGGCCAGGATTATGGTCAAACAAACCCTCACGGCTGACGCAGCGTGGGATACATTTATCCATCATTTGATTGAGAAAGGGCTGCACATATTTTTTCTATAACTAATTAATGCCACTTTAATACTTTATTGGAGGGCTTACATTTAAGCATGTGCTACTTTCTTACTTTTAAGCATGTGGTACTTTCGCAATTTTCACTGATAACAACTGAAACAAACATTGGGAATCAATTTGTGGTCAGCCAGAATGTGTGGCACTGACATATAACCCCAATGAATGTCATCATTTGTAGATAGCATACTGAATAACAAATGTGTAGTGGGTTCCATGGAGACACACACTTTAACTTGGAGGCAACACGTTTATTCTAACACCCCAACAGGGTAACTGCATAAACGTACGGGATAATGACGTA